AATGATTAATATATTTCCTGTTTCTTGTCTATGGCTGTTCTAGCTAACCACTGAGCAACCGCTGTATGTTACTGTATTATCACATCAATTATCCATAAATGCTGGTGGTTTAGATATTTTTACACTCTTCCTAATGAATAACACAAATCCGAACTAGTTTTGTTCAAACATTCATCTACGAAGCCAGACTTCCAAAGACTTGCATTTTCCTGTTTTACCGTTATCTGTTACATGTAAGATAAAGTTCCAAAATGAAGACTCTATTATAAGGTATTTTCTCCCTTCTTCCAGCAAGCCTTCGTGATGTAACGGTTAGCACACTCGGCGTGTATTTGAGAGGTCCATATTCGAGTCCCGGTGAGGGCATTGCTCATTTTTCATGTCTCGCGCTTCAAAATAACCTAATGTCTGTATAAGGTTTCAGTTCAGTTTATCGGGGAAAGAGGAACTGCTTCCTGAAGCCATAGGATTTGCGCATTTTCATAAATGCACGAAGCTTAACAGATGTTAACGTTGATCATGGGAATTTCCTAGAAACGATACGATTACTTTCAAAATACGAATATTCAAAATACGTCTATAAGGTATTTTCTCCCTCCTTTACGCATGCTTCCGTTGTTTAACGTAACACACTCGGCGCGTATTTGAGAGATCCAGGTTCCAGTCCCCGCCAGGGCTCATTTTTAATGTCTCCTGCTTCAAAATATCCTGATGACGTGACAGTGGCACCCGAACTAAGAGGTAGTAGATGATGATTCTTCACCATCAGGATTTGGCGATTGGGTTCCCTCATCCCCCAGTCCGCCTTTAAAAGGGGGAGTATATAAGTTTATTCTCTCCCTCCTTTCTGCATGTCTTCGTTGTGTCACGGTAGCATACTCGGCACGTATTCGAGAGGTCCAGTTTCGAGCCCTGGCTCATTCTTCAGTTTCCTGACATCAAAAGAAATCCTAATGACTCTTCACTATGAAATATGAATCGCTGGATTTTGTTGCTGTTCAAGAAAGGGTATGTATGGAAATATTAATGGCTAAAAATAATATTAAAAAAAATGCTTTCGTGTCAAAAATAATTAATTCATCGTTGTGTTTTTGGTTTTCTTTTCGTGAGACTCTTTTAATGAAAACAATCCAAAAGCGAGCAATATAGATGGAAGCGTTAATCTTATTTATCCGCGATGACGCGCCAAACGTGGCAAACCGATGCGTAGGCAGCATAAATTAATTATCGAGCGCGGCAAAAGCGAAGCGGCTCTCCTTATTATTCGTGATTAATTACTGATGCATGGCCGAGAAAGAGGATTCCCAGCGTTCACTTATCGATTGCGGCATTCCTAGGTCGCCCTCTCTTCTCTGGCGTTCCTGTATCTGTCTCCACCTCCCAGGCCGCCTGTGATTGTCGAGGATGTTAGGAATTTCCAGCAGAAAGACAGAAACGCCGATTAGAGTCCTCTCATGGAGGTGAGGGTGACAAATATAGGTAGTGATGATACATGCACCGAGATCGGGAAACGTTGGCCATTAATCAATACTCAAATCAGCAGTAGTAATTCCATTGATTAAAATGGTGAAGCAGTTGTTCTGGCGCTCACTTGATTGTACGAAATTGCAATACGCAACAGTTTCAGTTAATTTCTTTTCTTATTGGCTGATGCAATCCGACAGATTTCATGTGTAAAAAAAATTTTTAGGCCTCTTTAAATTCAGAAATATTCATTTTAGCAGGAAATTTTGTACCTTAAAATTACCTAACGGTTAAATTTGTTTGTAGATCTTTGAAGCACTTAATTTAAAATGAAAACGCCACCTTTTTTTTAACCACTTCGTTGAACGAGTGTTATTTTTGATTACCAGTAATTTCCAAAATGATAATAACTTGAGTACAACATGGTGGTTCCCCCCCTCCCCCAAAAAACATTCTTTAATGAATTAAAAAAATCTGTAAGCTGTCAGATTTTATAACTACGACCAAAAGGGCGTTTTTCCTAATGTTTTGTGTGTTACTTTTATTTATAAAATGTCGTATTCTTCGCACTTAAACCATTAAATTCAATTCGACAGCAATATCGAAAAATAAGTTTTAATTGAGCGTATTTTAAGAATTCCTGATACAGTCTCGCGCGCTGGAGATAATTTTTTTTTTTTTTTTTTTTTTTTAAATGTTTTGTGTGTTACCTTTATTTATAAAATGTATTCTTCGCACTTAAACCATTAAATTCAATTTAACAGCAATATCGAAAAATAATTTTTAAATGAGCGTATTTTAAGAATTCCGGATACAGTCACGCGCGCTGGAGATAATTTTTTTTTTTTTTCTTTTTTCTTTTTCTTTTTTTTTTTTTTTCCCGTACAGTGTTGCCATGGCTCGCTTTGAAATCGTTTAGTTTGTTAATCAAAAATTCATTGTAGTGTTACGAAATATGAAATCGATAATAAAACAAATTCCAAATTTTAAATTTGGGCTTCCATATGCCCATATTCTTTGGAGGATTATGTTATTCAAAATTGGATGTCTCTAGGTACTGTTGTTTTATAACAATGCGAGAAACATTCGTACATTTATGCAGATTCTTCATTATTTAATTTTTTAAATAATGAATATTTGGTGATATAGAATACACAGGGCGATAATATTTGGTGGCAGCAATCTGAAAAGTGAAACGGGCATTTAAAGTTTTCGACACGCAAAATGCCAAAACGAAATTAATAGCCCTTGTGAGCTAACGCCCTTTGTGCTAAGAAAAGAAAATGCCATACGCACATTAAATGATAATTCGCTGGATTTTGTCTGCTTTAAGATTTAATTAGACTGAAAAAAAAAGTATTTAAGTTTGCCTGGGCTTTGAAGAAAGACAAGGTAGAAATTTAAAAATTCTCTTTTTAAGCCATTTGACAGGAAATTAAAATTATTGATAGATTGCCCGTAAATTCAGAATTTTGTATAATTTAATAACCTGCTGTTTCAGAATGTTAACAGATGTCAGTAATAAATAAATAAAGGCTTCCATTAAAAAATAATAAAAGAAATAAAAAATTAATTAGGAGGGACCTAATAAAAAGAAATAAAACAGAAATATACGGTACAGTACGGAAAAAAGCAGTAATTAAAATATAAAATATGTACTAAAAAAATGACAATATATATATATTTTTCCCAGCTGAAAGACAATAGCAATATATCATAAATTATATTTTGCTGCAAGAATGAGAGAAAATTACAAACAAGCTAAATGATATTATAGAAATATACATAAAATTAAAACAAAGGTACTAAAATAAATAAGGGTATAAAATATATCACGAATATGCAGATAAAATAGATGCACAGTAATTTTTGAAAAAATATGGGGTACGAAGGAAACTCTAAATAACAAATTATGTTTGTTGAAGTAGTTAAAGTCAAAAACTGCAAGACAAAAAGTAAAAAATGGGAAAAATAATATATTATGGAATTAATTGGAGTAATGTAGATACTACAGAATGCATTTACCTCCGAAATTTTTAATCCCAAATTAAATTTTGAGGTTAAAAATGCAAATGCAGTTAACAGTTACAGCTTAGAACAGAATGTAAACTATTGTGTATTATAAAGCAAAATATGACATCTGATATACAATGCCTCTTCGATTTATTCCTTTGTTGGTTACATGTACTATAATTTGATAACAATCCATTATCAGTTTCTTTTTAAATCAAAGCTCTGCAGAAATGTCTAATAAAAATGCATGGGTAACATATATGTTTTGTATTATGAATAAGGGATATAGGATGTCTAACGCAAAGCAATGTATATATTGGAATGTCTATTTCATGTACTGGAAAATTATGCAATAAGTACCCAAATAACATGTAATGTAAGTAACCTGTAAGACTATTATGTTTGAAAATATTTGTATCTAAAAAATTAATCAGAATGTATCTGCATGTATCTATATGCAACTGCAAGTATATGTAACCTAAGGTTAAGCAGTGTAGGTAAAATTAAGTAATATGTGAAGCAGGCGTGCCTGACTATGTATGTATATAAAAATAATGTAACGCAAGGCACATGTAATATTGGCATATGTAACTGTACATGCAAACTGTATTTATATATGCAATCTACAAGTAATGTAGGTATATTTATTGAAATGTACAGCTAAAAACTGTAACTGTACACAAAAGTAATCCAACGCAATGTAAGATTAATGTAATTCAGGTAATGCATATGCATTGTATGCCGGAAATGAGAGACAAAGTCAGTATGTAACTCTGTAAATCACGTTATCCATAGAATATGTTAACCAGCAAACAAGAATGTAATACTAAATATGAACAGCCCTTGTATGGCCATGTAATTGCTCTTTTGAAAGACTCAAGGTTCAACTCTAGATATTGGTGGACGTGGCGCTACACCAATTAACCGACGGTAAAGGGGTGGTGCCCACGTCCCCCATCGCATGTCGCATGTCACTGTAAAGCTCTATGAGGTAGAACAAACTCTACGCTTAGAATCCTCTGATAGAGAAAACATTTTCTTCTACTATGACAGAAGAATTATGCGAATAAGTAGTAAATAAATGTATAAGGTATTTCCCCCCCCCTCTTTCCAACATGGCTTTGTGGTATAACGGTTAACGCACTCGGCACGTATTCAAAAAGTCCAGGTTCGAGTAACGGCGAGGTCATTGCACATTTTTCATGTCTCCTGCTTCAAAAATTCTTATGATGCTATAAGTATTTTTGCAAGTTTGGATACATTATTAAATTCTTAAAACGATAAGTGTTTAGTCCCTTATTAGATTTATTTAATGCTGAATTTAAAGAATTAATTTCTGGAAAGTTTGTGATAATTTATTAAACTGACAACCTAATGGCAGACACAGTGAGAAAATAGTAGGGTTAAACAATATAAGTTAAATAAATTATTCTCTCCTAAAAAAATACTTTAAATACTGCTCTAATAGTCTTTAATTATCTGCTAATTTGGTTATATGTAATTTTTTTTTATTATTATTATAGGTGTACAAGCTTTCAAAATGTCAAAAGGGGCGAGATGTGTAAAGTGCCCGGATCTACCGTGTCTCCGTCTTTACCAGGAACTCCCACACCTATTCGACTACCACATGCTAAACCGGACGTCTTCCGTGAAGTGCTCTTTTACCTCTATACTGGCAAGGTGTGTTTTAGCATATGTAAATGTAATTCTAGATTTCACTGAAAAGTGTTGTGCCATATTCTTTTCCTTGTCATTGACAGTAATAAATGTAACGTAACAAATATATGAGCCCAAACACTTCTTTTCTTTCGAGATGCACAAGAGCCGAATCCATCTAATAAGAGATGATATACAGGGTGCTCCGAAAATACCCGATGCAAATGTAAAGGCAGGTAGAAGATCTAGAAATACACAGATTTTGAAATGCAATGTGTTTGTGTGCACAAGTCGACTCGAGTGCTCAAGTCGTGGTATAGGGTGCTATTGAGTGGGAGAATAAAAGTGTTGTGCTGGCAGGAATTGCCATGGCCCGTACCATTTTGGAGTGACTCGCATCGTTAGCTGAAAGCCGAGCATGTCGGCATTAATTTTATATATATAGGACTGCAAATGGAAACAATGTAGCTGCTTAAAGGTTGTTCATTGTACCTTGTTTCAGTAGCTGCTCCGTATTACACGCAGACTGGACTCGTACATAAAATGCATGTTGCTGCTCAAACAATGTAGCTGCTCAAAGGTTGTTCATTGTTCCTTGTTTCAGTAGCTGCTCCATGTTACACACAGACTGGACTTGTACATAAAATGCATGTTGGCAAGCTTTGCATTCATGTACACCACTCAAAATCCGCACGGGGAATCGCAATGTACACCAGCTGAACGCTTTTATCTTGCGCTCAAGAGCACTCTGTACTACCTCAATGCCTCTTTTTTTCAAACACATTACGTTATAAAATCTGCTTGTTTTCTGCTCTCTGTGTTTGTCTTCTGCCAGATATTTTCTCAGCACTTTGTCTTGAGATCTCCTACACAGGTATGAGAAACACAAACACAATTAGTCAATTTTCCACTGAAATGTTACTCGAATTCACGAAAATATCACTTTATCAAGCAAAGCTTAAAAACTCAAAGTCATTTGCCTTTTAAATCGAAAACTCTAAAGAAAATTTCCTCATTTTTAGGAATTACACCCTGTATTTCCTCTGAGTTAAATAATCTCATGTCTTTCTTCCATTATATTTTCCCTATAAAATTTTATTTGAAAAAACGTTTAATGATTTTAATTTGTATGCAAGTTGTTGTTTCCCCCCCCTTGATGAAGGATCTGAAATATGCCGGTTCAGTACCATTTTGAATTTATATTGCTATACACTCCCTATTTTTTCTTTAGTCGAGGTTTAGACATTTTTTAGTTGAGTCAAAGATTAGTCCTCTTCCTCCTTTCTTTCTTACATTACTGAAGAGATAGCAATGAACACTGTAGAGAACTTTTAAAGAAAAAAGTGTGCATGCTGTAATTCCAGATGTATATTGCAGATGGATGTAAAATGAAGTAATGATGTAAAACAATGGATGTAAAATGAAGTAATGATGTAAAACGATGGATGTAAAATGAAACATTACATTATTAGGTAATAAATTGTTTCCGCAGTTCAGTTAGCAATGTAATCTTACTCTTCATGATTCAAATGCATTTTTCATTTGAAATGTCCTGTGATATTATGTTGTTAACAGCAGTATCTAATTTGAAGGAAGATGTACAAAGTTTTGTATTGAAAGATCCAAATGTATTTGAAATTTTCTTTGATTTACAATTCAAAATTATTAATTTCGAAAACAGCTATATCATGAGCCCAAAAAAAATTAATTTGCAGTGCGAAAAGTTTCAGATCCTAGAATAACATCTCAAAGCAAAGTTTAATATCCAGTACTTTATATCTCATAAAATTGCGAGAAAATATTTGTTTTCTAGCAAGATGAAACAATTTTAAATGCATTTTGGTAATATTTTATGAGTTTATATTTAAGAAATGATTTTTTTTTTCGTAGTGCCATTTGAAGAAATATAAATCAGATATTTTTATCAACACTTTGTGCTTTAAATAATTTTACCTACCCTCTTAATAAATTTTAATTCCTTCTTTATTTCATAGGTAATTCTTCAAGACTCTAGTGTGTTTGAAAGTTTGTCCATTGCGCAAGAACTGGGCATTGATGAGCTTCGAATGTACTGTGAAGATCATATCAACAGTACTCTAAATATACACAATGCTTGCACTTTTCTGCCTGCTGCTTTAGAAATGGAAAACAGAGTACCAGGTACAATTTTAATTGGAAGAAAAGTATTTAAATGTTTACTGCTTAATATCTTAGTCAAGCTAGCTAATTATATCACATTAAACTTTTATGGGAAGAGTTTTTAAACTGTACCCACAAACCTTTGTGGGTACAGTTTTTACTGTGCAAAAATAGAAGAAATTTAGATCTTTAAAAGTTAGAAAGATTCACTAATTAATTACATTAGTAATTTTATTTAAATTATTCTGTTTTAAATGAAAGATTTTTAAATAAAATTAATTTTTTTATAAAATATTTGATTATCTGTCGACTATATTAAATTGCACATATTCAATACTGCAAAACTTCATTTATTTAAAGTTTATTTAAAAAGAAAATTGTGTCAAATTTATAGTTTTTTTGGATTCATGGCCGATCACCTATTTCACACTCGTCACACACAGTTTTATTAAAACTTTGTTTAACTGTTTCTTTGTGTCTGTATTTATTGGCTCACTAGTGGCCAAATAATAAGCTACAGGACACTGATAGGTCACCCCAAAATCAAATCCCATTGAATCTGCTAACTATCTGGGAGTTCTGGTGGTTTTCTCCATATCAAGTTCCCTTAAGTTCTCCACAAGGGCATGCCTTCCTTTAGGCAAATAGCTTTGGCATACTTTTCTAAAATCTGAAAAATCCAATCTTGTATGCACTAATGTATAGCAGTGGAATTATGAAGTGTGGAGGATATCTCACCTGAACCTTTCCAGTCTTTTAATTGTAAACACAGATATGTTTGCTGTCTTTTAAAAATTAGTTAATATTTTGGAGGCTTCTTGTAATTGTGATCGGTGTAACCCCCTAAGTCTGGGTCTTGTAGCATAGTGTGTTGAGCTGAAAAATCAAATGTTGAAAGGAATAAGAAGTCAAATAAAGTAACGTGAGTAAGAAAGCTGTATGTTCACCAGCGAAAAATACACTCATGTTCAAAAAATAAGCAATAAAGGCTAAAAGAAAGGGTATGAATGTAAAAAGGGGAATTAAAACATACAATTTACTGAGCTAATGGTTGCATCGCCAAATGCAAATAAGCAACCAAAAAGCATAAAACGCAATCCTGCAGTCACTCTACAATGCCTTAAAAAGGGGCAGGTTTCATTTATTGCATAAGATGTTTGAAAGAAAGGTCTATGTCCGAATTTATAATGTTTTATAACCATTGAATAGCCTGAAGACCTGAATTTTTGTTGCACAACTTCAGCTGCAATCAAATAGTCAAAGCTTTCATTGTTCTTGAAAGCTTATTAAAGACATTTGTTAGAGCAGTTCAAGCTTTCTTTTGAATTTCATTCCTTACAAGTTCAGCGTTTTAAACCTAAAGTCAGTTTTTTAATATTGTTACCTAATTATTTTATGTCTAATGAAAAAATACTTTTCTTCAGCTTATCTTTTAATAGGAAGGGATGAAATCATTAATAGGAGTAAAGATGTTTTCCACAGAAGTCTACATGAATTACCACTTTTTATGCTGTGCCTTCACACTCTTTTTCACAGAATGCAGTTTTACACAAAGTTAATAGCAATAATAATGAAGAAAAGAATTTCTTTTTCTAAAACGTTTCTGATGTTTCTAAACTAACAAATGTTTCTGTTTCCAAGTTGAAAAGATTTTCCACTATTCCCCCCTCCAGTGTCTGTCTATTATGTCTCACGCATACTGTCTCACACTAACGCTAAACATAGAAATTTAGTGTAATGACCATATTAAACATGAAACATACAGAGCATATAACATATTCATTTGTGAATATTCTGTTTTTTATGAGTGAAAACTTATTTCATTAATTATAATAAAGCAAATAATGTATTTCCTTGCTTGCTTTCTTGCTTTTTTTTTTTTTTTTTTTTTTACTAATTTTATCATTCAAAATGGCATTCTTATTGTTGTCTGTGCTACTTAGGCCTCAGATCATCCATAAATTAGAGAAGGGGCATGTGCATCTGAATCAATGAAATTGTACATCGAATGTCAGTTTGTGTGTGCTTTGCTGTGATTAGTTGGTACTTGTATAAGGCTGACATAAATTTCGAAAGTTAGAAGGAAAAGTTCGGTGGGACTTTTGCAGATATTTGTTAAAGCTTTCTCTTTGTTAGTAAGATACACATGATAACCATGTGTATAAATCCATTTTAAAATTTAGGGAAGCTGTTCTCTGCATGTATTGAAGAAGAGGAAAACTAGAGAAATATATTTTTTTTAAATTATCTGAAGCTAAAATCTGAGGGGCGGAAAATATGCAAGGAACTATAATAATTCTTAACCAATCATATACGTATTTATTTCTCTGCATTAAAATTTCTTTATGATTAATTTAAATTATATATTTTAAATACTGTGAGGAAATATTAATTCACTTACTATGTGATATTAAAAGATCTTGCATAATACTAAATTTTTATGCCCTTTTTGCATTTAGTATTTGGAAATAGGCTAAAAGTTGTTGAATATGTAATCTATATTTTATAAGTTATGTGAAATTTTCTGTTAATAGCAGTGGACTGTAAAATAAAATAAAGAATAAAGCTAACAGTAGCATGAATATTTAGAGACAAATGGCAGACCAGCTACTTTTCAGTCTGCTTTGACAAAAGGCAGACATTGACATAAAAAAACAATAGTTATACTTAAATATAATAATTTTTGAAAATGTCTATAGAATACATAAAGCAATAATGTGTGCATGAATAGATATTGCTGTGAATATTTATTTATTTATTACAAATGCCGAGAAGATAGGCTCTGACGCCATTATATCTCTAGCCTTCCAATGTTTTTGAGCTTCACAGTGAATATTTAATGGCATTATTAATGAATCAGTTCAGTATTGCACATGAGTTATATTAATAACATTACTGTCAGTATCAGGCTTGATAGACAACTAAAGTTTTAAAAAAAGTTTTTTCATTGAAACCATAGTTTTAAATTTTGCCACTTGTAACAATGAACTGGTTGAATCTGAACCTTAAGTTTATGATAATATTTTAATAAATTTCATATTATAATTATTGTTGAAGTTAGCTTTAATGATGTGTAATATGTTTTTTGAACAATATAAGGATCTTATTAAAGTACTGGGAAGCGAATGATAAATAGGTAAATTAACTGCTATTGTAAAATGTAGGATTGTTATCTGTTTTCAAAGAGGGCTTTCTAAGGGAAAACATTTTATACATATGTTCCTTCCAAGAATTTTACTTGGTATAATAAGACATCAGTTTCCAATTGTTTAATCACTCCCATGTGGTAAAACATCATAAGAGGAATGGTAAAATGAAGAATATTAATTTTCGAGTCTGAAAATTGTACCGAGTTATATAAAAATACTTTGGCACATCAATTCATACTTAATACTCCTTTTTCAATAAATATTTTACTTTAGGAAACAAAGCTGGACGATCTTTTGCTGACAGATGCACATCCTACATTGGAGAAAATGCTCTTGAGTGTGTGAAAACCTCTGCATTTTTAAATTTACCCAAAGAAGCTCTAATCCATTTGGTTTCATCTGATTATGTAAGTTGTTTAATATGAAAACAAAGCATAGTGTTTCAGATTTCAGCTTTATAATTATTTTCGCTAACAATATTATAATTCTTTCTAATGTGTTTGATTTTATTATATTCATCATTTATTTTATTTTGTCTACTTCAAATTCAATGTATAATTCAGAACATTCTTTGTATAATAACTCCTGATTTGGATAATACACAGCTTATATAAATTTGAAATGATATAAGTACACAAAACCCATAATGTTTGATTTAAAATTAAAAATGAGAATTCCATAAACAATTCCTGACTGTTACTCCTTGCGTTCAGACAATATTCGAATAATTAATTTCGTTCATAGGGTAAAATATGTTCTTACCTTAATGGTTTAGTCACATTCATTATCATTAGTGTTCAACAGATATTTATCCTTTGAAGACAATCAGAAAGCAAAAAATCATTAAAATAATGAATATGCTCTGGTCTTCACAACTGGAATTCTGTCACACATAGATGTTACTATTTGTCAAATGCCAGTTACATTGGCCGCTAGGTCATTAAACTCCTTTCTTGGCAATAGTGCTGAAATCTACAAGAAAATTTTGTCAGTGCTTCACACTCGTCCAAATGTTCCGCCGTCATTGACCGTCCACTATTACATAAAACGCACAATGGTGAATCAACTAGTCCAATGCGAAATAAATGATTCTGTAGACAGTCATGTCCCGTCAATAGTCTAAAAGATGCAATCGCAACTGTTCACGGGTGGTCAGGAACAAATTCTAACATTTGTAAGGACCTGAAAGTAACATGTATGCTCTATGAATTCTAAAGTTGTGCATAGTATTATGTTTTATGAACAGAATTATGAGAGAACAATACCTACTGACCTGTAGGTGTATTATAAGTGTTCCCTATGTTTATATTTATCTCTCTGTCCTTAAAATCCATGTAAGAGATTTGAAACAAAAGTGATGTTTCATTTATAAAATAATATTATCTAAATAATATACCACATATATGTGTGCGTACTGTCCGACCATGTATTCCAAATTTATATAAACATCCAGTTTGGGGCGAAAGTGGGCATATCTATCAGTGATGTAGGGGTGAATGCAGTAGCCTGGTTTTGATTTAAATGGTTCTTCCATTTCACACTCTATCTTTCGAGTGCTGCGCAATAGAAAATTTTTATCTGCGCTTTACACATTTTAAGCTGATGTACCGTGAAATTTTAAAATTATAGAATTAAATTAAAATGCATAGAAACATCAGATTGGGACATTTCAAAGAAAAACCACTAAAAGAACTGTAATAGTAAACTATTTGTCTTAATACAATTCATCATCAATTTAATAATATATTTAATAGATAATATTAAATTAATAATAATTTAATGGATAACAATTAAATGAATAATAATTTAGATAATGTATTTTAGTTAATTTTTAATATTTTCAAACATGAATGAAAAACTTTTATCTGTTAAATATTCTTTAATAAAATTACATTTATTACTATAATCAAATGATCTACAAATAAAATGAAAGCAATTTAATGAGAAGAGGTTGCCATAAAAATTATTTTAGTTTTAATTAGATATGCCATACCTTTTTTCCCCCTTTACATTTTTGGCTGCTAACTGGGATGGTCAGTCTTCTTAATTGTGATTCTTCATCACAAACTTTAGTGACACTAATTTCTAATACACTAATTTCTTAAAATCTCTGTGGAAAGGTTTATTTCTAGAGCTTTCTGGAACACTAGAACTCATCGTAAAAATGAAGATTTGAAAGTAAAAGGTCAGGAACAGCGATGCTCAAGGATTGTAAGAAAAAGCACTAAATAACCCCCCCCCACCCCCAAGAGGGAAAAAATAACCCGCGCTTTTCACCCACACCCTGTGATACTTCTTAAACAATTTGAAGTAAACTCCAATGTTAGAACTCAGCAATAACTTTTATTTTACACCAAAAAAATTGGAGACATACAAACAAGAGAAGAAGAGGTATAAAAACTTATTTTAACCTTCCAGCACGCGCGTATGTGCAAAATTTATGACAAATTCAGTTTTTAATGCACATTTTTCACATATCGAAGCTGAGACATCTGAAGATCATTTCTATTCCTCCTTTCTACCCTTTCCCACATTGTGGAATTTGCCAAAAGGAAGTCATTTGACTTTTTTTTTAATTGGGCATTTGTGCTACTTGGCAGCTTTTTCATAAAAGTTCCAAAATGCGTGTGGTTGTGTTTTAAAATTCGGGAAATATTTTTTCTCTCAAATATTTTGTAATTTATTGCCATGCATTATTAATTGCTGTGCATTATTTTCATATGAATGCATTTGGCTCTGTAAATTTTATGTTAGTTTTCATGGCCAAAAAAATATGTGCAACCAGCTGATTTTGCTTGGATTCTTCAAGAATTATCTGATGAAGAAAAGGAAGGACCTTTGGATGGGAGAACAATAGCTATTTCCATTCCTGATTTTCTTTTCTTTCTATTTTTTAGAAATAAATAAAAATATTAAAGTTAGTTTAAAGTGTGTTTTTGTAACCAGTAAAAAGTAAATTTCCTTGTAGAAGTAAGTAATGCTAAACTTACTTTTTTCCATTTTTATTGTCTATACTTGTCTTTGATGAATATTAAAATTAGCTTCGATTTTAAAATATAATTATTAAATAATAAGTTTAAAATTTTCTCTAATGAAATACATCATTGCATTTCCATCTCATTAACATAAGAACTTATAAATAATTTACTTATATTTGAATGTGATATTATTGCTATTTGTGTTTTGCAGTAATAAGATTAATACTTTATTTCTTAACAAATTTATTATCAATATTCACTCATTGCTGTCGGTTTTCGTGCCAAAAATGGTAAAATAACGGATGTTGTAAAAAATACGATGCGTGCGTGCTGGAAGGTTAAAAAAATAATTACATGCTTCGGGCGAGAAAATGCATGCAGCTATCGAGCCTGCATTTCAATATTGCCAGTAACCTGTACATTATTTATTATTCATCTATTTCAAATGCACAAGAGATTAATAATGATATTAAAGCTGTTACAAACCCTACGACCTCTGAGAGGGAAAAATACCCACGCTTTTCACCCACACCCCTTCAATTAAACTGACCTATCTTGACTCTCAGCCAAACTGCTCTCGCTAGTGTCGTTAGACAGTATATATCTATCTATCTATCTATCTATATATATGTATATGTAAACATTTTAATTAATTGTTATAAACTGCCTAATACTTGCACAAAAGCTGCAAAGTAATAATAATTTATTTACTAATGGATTATTAGTATATTATCTCCTTTCATAAAGGTAGTTAGAATTCTATTGAAATGAAGTAACTTATAAGCATATTTTAAAATGAATCTTGAAAAATTTTAAAATGAAGACATCAAAAAATGAATCAAGAATAAATTGTAAATGAAAATTTTTAAAAGGTATAACTAAAATTCAAGATGTAATCAATAAACCAAGTCATTATCATCATTAAGCGGAAATTAGTTGACTTTTCAAGGGGAACAAACCAACTTCTGATCAATAACAATAATTAATAAATGCGAAGGTGTTTCGTCTTTTACTCAAGTGAGAATTATTATGCCAAAGGTGTATTTTAGTAAGATGAGTTTAAGCAAGATGTTAAGTGAGATGTAAAAGCACTGTATCGAATTCAGTAGGAAGAGGGCTGTTAGTGAAGTTTAATAATAAAATTCAGAATTGTGAAATATTATTGTAAGAGTAGTAGTATTTTCTTACTTGAGTAAATTGCCCCCCCCGACACCTTCACCTTTAATCATGTTAATTCAATGTAAACTTTGTAACTAAATTCTGTTCATTACATTTACTAAGTCTGGCTGTTTGAGTTGTAGTTCCATTTACATCACGAGCATTATGTGAAAGTCATATCATATGGATTTTAGATGTGTCTCGAATTGACACTTCAGAAAAAGTATTTTTAGAATAGAGAGGAGAAATGCCAAAATTAAAATTAAGCATTAATGGGCTTTAGGCCAAAAGAGTAGGATCAACTCACAATTAAAAAATTCCTTTCTCTGATTCATTTCTTAATTACGGGTTTGTCATTGTCTTTAGAACTCTTGATATCGAAATCCTTTTAATTTCAATCTGGTCTAATTTCTTCTTTTGTGCTTCAGTCTTCAGACAATGCGTAATTAAAGCCACTTTTCTCAAAAGATATCTTTATTGTATTGTTAAACATAACATTCATACTTCTTTCATGTCTTTAACTCCTTCTGTTAAATATATTTTCTTAATTACTTCGCCTACATTGCTTACTAAGTCATTAAATACTATCAAAGTAATTATTACACAGCATTGATATTGAAGTAAAAATAGTTAGATTATTCCAGATTCTGATCAAGCTAAAATTAAAGAATTTATTTTTTTTAATTGGCAGAAAAGTTTCTTCTCCCCCCACTTATAGATTACTTGGCATTTTAGATTGCTTTTCCTAATATTTCATTTTATTTTAAAGGGCTCAGATATACATTTTATTACTCTTGTATTTTTCTGTCAGCTTTTTTTATAAGCGACTGCCAGCTACATTTTCAGTAACTTTTTTTGTTATACTTCTAAATTTAATTCATCCTTTTACTTTTGTTTTCTGACATGTTATGTGCACTGGACTGAATTAATGTGAAATATTGTAGTAATGTCAAAATCAGAAAAGAACTGTCTTGACTACTCTTGAATATTGATATGTTATATATTACTTAGTTATGGAGAGAGGAAATGAAAAATTTATCATGAACTACATAGGAATATAATGATTATAATTATTCTATCATAAATGGCATATCATGTCTATGTAGAAAATTTGAAAAAGGATAACATTAAGGATGAAGAATTCATTTTAACTTGTATCCCCCCCCCTGAAAAAAAATATTTTGATGTTATAGTAAGTACTGGAAATGCAATTTTCTGTAAAATTCTTGATTTGTTTGATACACAAAATATTTTAGTTTAGTTCTGAAGTTAGAAATTTTATTGTTATGTTTAATAATATCTGGTGAAGTTTATTTGTATTTGTCTTATCTTGATTATCTGTACTTTCACAATTAGTTCCATAATATTAGTGCTGACTTGTTTTCTTATTTTACTTTGCAGCTTGCCATGGAAGAAGAAGATGTGTGGCGTGCAGTTTTAGCTTGGGCAAAACATCAATCTGGAGTTACTCAACCCACTGCACATTGGACAGAAGAAGAAAGAGCGAGGATAACCCAAGTATTTAGCATTATCATGTCATTTAAAGTTTTTATTTTTTTTAAATCAGTGACTTATTTAAAAATAAAAGTGAGTTAATTTAACAAATTAGGAATTACATTTTTAAATTTGTTTTTAATATTCATTAAATGAATAGTCATATATGTATTTAATAGTTATGCAAGTTAAAAAAAATACAGCATATATTTTATATTACAATTAGAACTTCACTTTTTAGTGTTAGAACTAAAATTTCTATAATGCAATAATAGAAAATGTTATCTGTTGAGAATTATACAGTATATAATGACTATAAAAAGGTGTACTTTTTAATTTTTTAATTAACTCACTTATATCTTTAAAAGAATACTGATTAAAAACTTTTTGAGACATTAAATAAAACCAAAGATTTCGTTTTTAACAGAATAATAACATTTAGTATTCATAGTGTAATGAAAACTGTGTAAATTTTATGTAATTTAACTATGTTCTATGTGGAAATTTTCTTCTTATTTAATGGATAAATATGAGGAAGTAAGCCCTTCAAGCTTTTGAAGTAAGGGTCTACTGTGTGTGCATAGTTGTAAGTTTCTCAAAGTGAACTAGCATTGTTTTGAGTGTAATTTTTCTTTTAAAAACAATGTATGAAAAAGAATTGTAAACACAGTTGTGATTTACTTTCTCACAATTTTTATTGATCATTAGATTCCATTTTGTATTTTTAACATGCCCTTTTATTATATCCTTTGTATAAATGTTTTAGTAAATATCATTCATATGAAGTAGTAGATATTTTGTTAAATCTCATTTCTACTTTCTCTTTGGAAGCATCTAACTTCTCACAAGATAGCATATAATAAAATATGTATGTTCTGACTGAATAGTTTATTTATACACCACAGGATCATTCATGACAGTTCTTAAATTACATTTTCATAGTTTTTGTTAAAGACTTCATTTTAAATAAATAATTCAGATTTCCAGCAAAATAAGATTTTATTTTAGCTTTACTTGATTTATTAAATTTAATTTTTATTTAGAAACCTATGAGCTGACTTTTTGCTAAAGGTCATTTTAACATTTTAAATCATAAAATATATATCCTCTTACTATATGTTGCTATATTGAAAAAAAAAATATCTTATAACTAAAAATGTAATCATAGTTATTCAGTAACTAAGCATTTCATGCTTGTTTTCCAAGACTATAAACAAAATGGCTATTAGAGAAATTGTTAGAAACTGAAATTTTATTTTTATCCATACATTAATAAGAATGAACTATTTCATCAAAACAATTAAATTTATGAGGTATTTAAAAGGGTGAAGTAGTCTGAGTAATTCAAATGTAAGTACTTAGAGTAATAGCAAAAAATTCAATGCATTTTGTGAAAGATGTGTTCTATATACATTAAGTGCATCTGTAGAGAATAATTATATATTTGTATGGTGTGCTGATAATTTTTATTGTAGGGATAAAAGTTAATAAATCTAAAATCTAATTATTTTCTTCATAATTTTCATTTTTTATTTACACATTCAGAAATGACAGTGGTTGCACAGACTAGCATGTTTTTCATATTGATTCTTTGAACACTTATAGATAGATAAGAGATCTTAGATCATATACCAAAAAAATTAAATTGTGGAACATAATGAAACGCATTAACTTGCATCTGTTAGCTATTTTTGACATCAGTTACATGTATATTTTAATTATAAAATATACAAATAACCTCTCAAGTGTTATGTATATTTTAATTATAAATTCATGTTTGTGTAAAAGTTGAATGCAGTTATCAGTGCTGTTTAAAGTTACTCACTTTGCAAAGCATGTAATGATTATTATTTTTTTTTTTAACTAGCAAATGTCTGGTGTGATAAACCATGTAAGAATATTGCTGATTGATAGCCAAGTGTTTGCTGAAGAAGTAGAACCTACTGGAGCTGTGCCAATGGAGCTTTCTTTGGAGAGGTGAATGATCAATTTTGATAATTTTTTCCTCTCTTGTAAGTAAGTAAAAAAAAAAAAAAAAAAAAAAATTGCTCAGCAATTTTAGACAATTGGATTTTTTTTGGGGGGTGGAGGGGAGGACTGGTAATTACATTTTTTTAAAGTTATCAAATGAGCTAATACACATGTAAAAATGTACAAGTATTTAAGTTCTTTGTTTGTTTTAATGTAAATGTTATTCATTAAAGACCTTGTTTGTGCATCTTTAGTTTAAACTATTATTTGCGTTTTTTTATTATTAGAATAAAAATCTTATCAAGGTATACTTTTCAAATATATCTGAGAATACCTCACATCATATAGATATTACCTTAGTTATTTATATCAATTTGAATGGATGACCTTTATTATATTAACTATAGTTTTAGAGAATGCCTGCAGCGTACTAATTCTATCATTTTGGGTTACAAATCTCCATATCATCTCTATCAAATTTCATTTAATTTGATTTTATTTTGTACACTGTACAGAAAAAAAGAATTGGTAGCACTAATGTTCTGACTGAATCTGAATCTACTGAATTTATACTGAATTATCAGTTAGTATATAGTGTTTATTATTATTTATTTTGAGGGCTGACTTCTTAATGTGATCATTATGGTTTAGTTAATATTTGTTAAAATAAAGAAACAATATAATGTTCATATCTTATGTATACACTGAGCACTTTTCTTTACTTCGAAAAATTTGGCTATGTTGAGCATCATCTAAAATTCAATAAACATCATTAAAGGAAAAAAAAAAAGTTTCAGTGAACTTACAGTGGTAACATAGCATAGGAATAGATAAAATTAATGAGGATTTTAAAAACATTATAATGTCACAGCTTTGATTATATAAGCATTGGATTGTTTTATAGTTTGGAATTCTAAATATATGGTTTTGCTTTAGAACTACCGCTGTAACGCATAAGCATTACAATAACTTGCTATGAAACAACATGATTTTTTACTTGATTCATGTAGGATTGAGCACTACTACATATGGAAAATAAACCTACATTTTCAATGCAGACAGTCAACTGGATTTTGAGATCTGGAATTCGGTGATTTTTGACTATGAGCTTCCTGAAACAAAGTTATAAAAAGATTTCCCAACATCATTAGTAAGGCTTGAAAAAACTATCAGATAATGTGGATCATTGATTTCCAGAGAAAGTTTTCCTGATGTCCATAGCGTCTCAATTCTTTCTCAAGCGATGTTAGATAAGGATCACCACCACATTCAGCACTTTTAAGAAATGCAAGTTAACAGTGATTTGGCCAACATAAATTTTATTAAAAATTATGTAATATTTTTTAAAAATAAAACAAGGACTTAATGTATATCTGTGATAACTACAGTACTCTGGATTACAAATGTACTTAAATACAAACCTTTTCAATGCATTGTAGTTTTTGACAGTTGTCTTCCTTTCCAATAAATGAGAACATCAATTGAATTTGATAATTACTTCTCTGATCAATGTGTAAATTTTAATAACTGGTGTAACTTGATGCATGTTTGGCATTAATTTTGGATGACAAGGCTAAATGTATTTTTATGTAGAAACAGTATGGTTTTTTGCTTTAAAGGGCATTTTCTACAAGTGCATTAGTTCTGTTCCTTTTAAATATTTAATTCACTTTGTATGTTTTTAATAAACACAATTGAATCTTGTTCATTTGTTTTAAATCTACCTTGATTTTAATATGTTTACTTTTTTTGTAATTTTTAAGAATTTTTTTATAGTTCAGATATCAACTGATAATTGTTTACAGTGTGAATGCCTTATGAATTTACGTTATAAAAAAGTAGAGATATTCAGTGTTTTAAATATGCCTTTAGGTTCAAAATTCATGATTTAGAAAATAAATTTTTGACATTTAAATTTAATTTAACTGTTTCCACAAGTTCTATGGCTTTTATTTTTACAGCTGTTTATCATAAACATGTACTTCCAATTACAAAAAATGTTTTAAATGCAAATATTCATGTTTTTCTCTTTTAATTAAAAAGTGAAATAAGTGAAAATCACTTGGGGCAAGATCTGCGGAGTAAGCAGGATGTGGCAAAAGCTCCCAATTAAATTCACTCATTTTTTGCAGTGTTGTTCGAGCCGTATGCAGTCTAGCATTATCATGATGAAACAACACTTTCTTGATATTCACCGATCATGGGCATTTTTTTATCAGTTCTGAATTTAGACGGCAAAGATGTTCACTATAAACTTCTGAATGAATCATTTGATTTGGTTCTAACAATTCAAAATGTCCTGAATGGGGTTCATCATCCATGCTGCTTTTTCTAACTTAAAATTTTTAAATCATTTCTGGGCAGTCCTTACACTAATAGTGTGTTCACCATTTACACTATTAATTTTTATCACTGCAGACCTGGCAGATTCACCACACGAAAATAAAAAATGTAGCACAGCATGTTCATACTGATTATCTATATTCATCTTCTATGGGGTACTAAAATGCGTTCGATATTTATGAAATTTGATGATGAACTGAATAATATGTTAGTCAAACGATGACAAGTTTCAACAGGTTCGAAATTGTATTGTTTTAGTAAATGCATCATAGTGAATTCCACCAGCACCCCCTGGATTCAAGGCCACGGCGCATTTCCCAGGAGGAGATGTGACGTCAGTGTTAGTAGGGATTGTATTTCGCTTAACATTCCCCACCTAGGAATGTGGTGGGTAGATTTCCGGAGTTTTGACGGTCACTCGGTCAGTTAGGCATCCATAAGAACAGTCGACATTCTGTTTTATTTTTTTATATATTTTAAGACTATTCCACTTTCATATTATTGTTTTTTCAAATTTTTGATGTGGTTTACACATGCTGTGTACCGAACTACAAAGGTAACTACCCAAATGATCCAAAAAAACAGGTTTTTCTCTTTTCCAAAAGAGAAAAATGTGATTCATAGAAACAATTTCAAGCCAACACAGTTTTTGAACATAAGTAGCCCCCCCCTTTTTTTTTAATTAGTAAGTTTATACTTATCTGTGCTTAAAAAAGTGCTGCTATGTTAAATATATTATAAGTATCATAAACTAAAGCGAGTACATACATTTATAGAAAGTAAACGTATTTAATCTTATTGTAAGTCTAATAGTGATATCTAATATGATGATTAATCATATATAATTTAATTTATAGCATATAGTACTTTTTATCATCATGCTAATCGTTCAATCTATAGCAGATTGCATTCTTTATCGTCATGCTAGTCACTTAAGTTGTAGTAAATAGCATCATTTACCAAGTTAAGTAAATTAAAACAAATGTGTGACTTAAAAGTAGGATTAGATTAAATGTAGGATTAATAAAAATTCAAAATTTTGGTAAATACATTTTGTATGTTGCAAAATGCTTGCATTTAAATATCTCGATACATTTGTAACAGAAATAGCGTATTTATTAAAATCTGAAGACCTTGAAAAATCTTGATAATATCTATGTACCTAATGACAATTTTGTTTCTAATATTAATGTGAAAAAATAAGATATTTAAAATTTTGTGAGTTCATGTCTGATATTCTTAAAATTCACTTAATACAACGTAAAGCATTAAAAATGAAATTTTATAAAATGTTGTATTTAATTCTAGTTTAGATAATTAAATTCGATTATAACAATCTTTGCATGCAAGTGTTTCGATGATAATAAATATATCTTTTATGTGAAAATGATAATGCACGTGAAGTAAATTTGTTATTGTAATTATGTATAATTACGTAGCAGTTCAAAAACTTCTATCAGTGGACAACAAACAAAAACTTTTACAAAGCAAAATTCAGAGACAAATAGCAGTGAAATGAACTTTACAAAATTTGAAAGACTTTGATGTATTTATAGATGCATGTGAAGTCAGTTAGATGCATGTGAAGTCGGTCATTCGGCTGATATGATAGTAAAATATTTAGTAATGGTGGCAAAAAATTCTTTATTAAATAATTATTGCAAAAAAATGAATAATGTGCCTAAGAATGTAGTTACAAGGCACAAAATACAAATTGCTCAAAGCAAAATTTTAATTTTTACCTGCTTCAGAGAATGCATGTATATCTATATATCTGCACGCATCAAAATTTACGAAATTCTGAGTTTCATTTCTTTTTTTATCAGATGTATTCATTATGTATTCCTCCTTCATTTACATGTATAGTGCAATATCAATGTAACTCTTAGATGTCTATAAAGCCCATGAAAATTTTTATTATGTTTTAATTTTTTAATTTATTATTATATATATATATATATATATATATATGTGTGTGTGTGGTGTGTGTGTGGTTAAAATCCTAAAATTCTCTTGCTTCACCCCCGAAATATATTATTTTAAATTTTATATTTTGTATAGCAGTATGTCGAAGCAATTTTTTTTCCCCAAAGAAATCGAATATATTGTCATACATATATACGCATGCATATACATACGTATGGAAATAAAAATGTATGGCATGATATTTCATAAAGACTACAATTTAAGTTCTTTATAAAGACAGCAAATTTACATTAAATATTACCATACATGTTTTATTTGATGAAATGCAGTCTGATAAAAAAAAAAAAAAAAAAGTAATATTTATCGTTCACTGATTATAGACAGTTTTGAATAATTCTGAATTGACTGCAAAGGCAATTTCGATGATTCTTCCTCTTTGACTGAATTGAAAATAAGCATGTACATATTATCTGAAGTATTTCTGTATTAATTGTTTAGAATTGTAATGTATAATTTAGTGCATCCTAAGGGCATTATATGTGAGTGATTTTATTCGACAGTAATAATGCAATGATAATTGTGTTTTTCATTTCTTGTGTTCAATATCCCAATTTAGGGTTTGTTACATTTGCATTCCACATAACACTGCTAAAGTCATGTTATAAAATTTCCCTGTAGAGATCAGAGGTTTGATATTTGCCATTTAGAATTCAAAATAATATATAATTATCTCAGTGGAACTAATGTCTCATAATTATGAAAACTTTTTTAAATCGTTGCAAGCTTAGTGTTATTTTTCAAACATGAGTATTTATTATTATTATTATTTGGAAACATATGTCAAAAATAAGATATATTACTTATGCTTATCATCGATTCATTAAGTGTGAAGTTTCTTTCGTTAACAAGAGTTTCTTAGCGATTAAATTTGGTAAAATCAGTAATAACTTTTAATGGAATTCAAAATTCTAGTTATTCGTATCGAAAACATTCTAAAAATAAAAATCTCTGTTCTTCACATTATAATGAAAGCAAGGTATTTTCCAGATTTATAAATGATGAGAATTAAATATAAAAATTTCAGTTTAATTATAAGCCTGTCAAATGGATATTTAAGAAGGCATCCTTAAAGTTGGCGAGGACTAAAGTATCCCTACTGCAGTGACATCACAAACAGCGCGCCATGGCCTGAGTTAGTTCTAAGAGGTGTTGATTCCATGCATACTCTTAATGCGCACAAACTTATGGACTGGCCCAATGACATGAAAAGTATTGATCAGTGCATTTTTTTCGGAAAAAAGGTTCTATTCACAGAAACTTATAGAACTCATGTTCAAGAAAACAGTGGTAGCCTTCAATATTGGCACATAGTCAACTCATAATATTTGTATAAATTTAAAATATTTCCAAATTAATCAAATGTTTTCTAAGTTTGTTAGATTATGACTCTTATAACACTGCATGAGAATATTTATAACATGCATTTGAAATCTTATGAAATTACTTGGGGGAGATTCTTTGGACATTATGTAACAAAATTGTAAATGAAGGAATGTTACACACTAGTAAATCATAAAAAATATTGCTAGGTAACAGTAAAGGGGAAAAATTCAATTTTGAGTTATTCTAATATAATTTTTAACTGAACCTTCAAGGTAAGCTGAAAAGGGACGTCAGGAAACATTAGGTGAGATTTTGAAATTAAATATCTCAGCTAATTTTTGTCATATGGATGTCAAACTTTTCATGTTTAATTTTTTATGCTGAATATAAATTTTTACTAAATATAAGTATAGGAACATATAAAGAGTTAAATTTCATAATTTTTACAAAATTAAATTTTTAATCAACGAAATGCCAAAGTATGAAAATTTGTGTCATTTGTCAGATTTATGGTAATTGTAATTCATGATCAATGGTTGTAAAATAATGGCCATATAAGAACTTTCATGGATACAGTGAATATTGTTATTAAAAGTTTCAATTAAAGTTATGTTTTTGATAAAAATTTGATGAATTTTTCAAATGCACTTTTAGATATCGTTTTGCTGCACTTCCAAACAAATTTACTCATTCAGAAGACAAACGCATACAACCCCGGACGTCACTTAAACTCTTTCAAGGATCTCAGTTATTAAGTGGTGAGAAACTTCATCTACAGAGAGTATTAAATGCCTGGTTTGGTAATGCAAAACAAATGTGGCGTCTACTGTATAGAGCATCTACTCATGGATATACCGCTGAAGCTTTCCACTACCACTGTGATGGGCACAGTCCTACTTTTGTTATTCTTTTGGTTTGTATAGTTATATACTTCCAGTTACAACAACATAAACATATACTTCCACTTACAACAATATAAACATATAATTCCAATTACAACAATATAAGCATATACTTCCAACAATATAAACATATGCTTACAATTACAAACATGTTTTAAATGCAAATATTCATGTTTTGCCCTTTTACATTTACAAAATCAATTTTATAAAAATCATGAAATAATTTTTCTTAATTTATTTACAGTACATTTTAATATATATAGTATTTAGATTTATGTAATGAATGTTACATCATTTAATCATTGTAAATCATTATATTCTAGAAAATTGATATTTTAAAAGCAAATTTTTAAATAAATTTTATTAAATTATTATATTTTATTTCTGTTTTTCATTCTGTCTGTTATTAAAACCTTTACTCCTTTTATAAATGTTTTGAATTTATACAACTTTCCAAATGAAATTTAAGTTTGATTTTAAAGTTCCTTTTGTTTGGAAGGTACTGCTATTTTAATAAAAGTTGTATGTAAATTTTTGTTACATTGAATGTTTCTTATGATGTTTATTTTAAAACAGGGATCTCATGGAGAATTATGTGGGGGATTTAGTGATGTACCGTGGGGTAAAACGAGAGGTCGTGGTCGATATGTGCCTTCCGAGAAAGCGTTCTTATTTACTCTAATAAATAATGCTGATGTTCCACCCACAAAATTTGAAGTTGTTAAAAAGATGTTTGCTATTGCTCATCATCCAGAGTAAGTGTCTCTAAATTATTATTTTATTTTTAATGGGTAGTTATTTACATGTTTGGCTTTATTTTTTACAAAAACATTTTTCAATTAAAAGTAATATTTTTTATTTAATTTTAATATTATTGCACTTGAAATTTTCTCATGTGTGTACATGTGTTTCTCTGTTGGTAAATACTTCTTTCACTAATGTTTATAATAATAATACATATTTAAATAATTATGTATTATGAGTATTAACATTAATGAATCATGCACAAAAGAAGCTGTTTTCATGACACTTGTAAAAATATTATACATAAAATCCTACTGTAATAAACTCTGAAATACGGTTTTGTTATGGCCATAAATTAAAAAATAAATGCCATGAAGATGTTATAATTAAAATAGTTGCATAATGTGGGCAATTAAATACACTTTATTAATAAAAAAATTACATTAGTTGGCAGTGTTGCAAATCCATTAATACATAAATTGATTCTTTATATATTTTAACAAAAATATTATAGGTCAATGATTTAATGTATCTGTGTGCAATATATAATGAGTGCAATAATATATATAGATCTGTGTGCAATATATAATGAGTGAAATATATAATATATAATGAATGCTAATGAGCATATGATGTGTGACTCTGTATGTTCCAAAGCACTAGATGTTCCCTTAGAATCTTAAATTGATGCAAAATTCAAATTATAACCAACATTATTTTTTAAGAATATTATGTGCATTGTCAGATAACTGTCATAAGATGGTATTGCTCAGATAGGATGCTATTCCAGTATTTTAATTAATTTATCTTCATTGTTTATTAAAAAGTTATGTTATTAATAGTAAAGGCTATTGTAGAAAAGATACAATTGGCATCTGTTTTGTTTTGTTTTGTTTTGTGAGCATTTGAATAGATGCAGAAGAATTTCAGGATGATTAGTCATTCAAAAACACTGTCCATTCATATTTGTTTCAACAAAGGCTATTAAGTTGGTTATGATTTAAAAGTATTTTAATCCTCAGTTGGAGAGGCTGGCGTATGGTACAATCTTAGAGGGGCAGCGTATGAAGTACGCCAGGTCATTTTTTGAGCCTCTGCTTCGTGTTTGAAACTATTTAATCTTATACATGGCATTAATAAGGTGATTCGTCATAGTAAAAATGATATAAGAAAAAGAATAACAGAAAAAAAGCAGTAAAGATGGAAACTACGAATTTTTAATTAATTCAAAAAGTGGATGCACTGGAAATGTAATTTAAAGTTAAATAGTATTCTGCATTATTTTCTGTATGAAAATTATAAGAACATAAATAAAAATTACAAATTATAAATATTCCATAAAGAAAAGCTCAGTAAGTAATAAATTTCACAAATGAAAAATTTGAAAACCTTTTGCTATTTTAATCCTCTTCCGATTGTCCCTGTTCACTGCAGCAAGGTTTGCAAAGTTGTACTGTCTTGCCCAGATGATTTTTGCAGGTAAACTTAGAACACTCAGAACATTTTATGGTAGTGTAATTATTCTTCCTTCTACCGCACTCAGCGCAGCGTCCTTTAATCTTTTTTGCAGGTGGATCCTCATCCCTTTCGGCCGTCTTGTCCGCTTCTGTTGTTACCAGCCTTCTAATAATAGCTTTGGAATGCGACAGGAGAAATGGCATTTTCAGACGATTCTGAAGATGTGGTTTCATTAAAGATGTAGCTAGATTTTTCAAAAAATATCTTCTAAACTTGAAGGTTGCATCAGGTTTGGAGAGGTTCAAGAGCACTTGCAAATTTATGGCTGCTACGTTTAGCAGTGCAAAAAATATTGCCATTGTCCACCTCTTGGCTTTTCGGGCAACAGTGAAATTACTACAAAGTTGGTCTACAGTATCAACTCCGCCTTTACATTTGTTATAATCGAGGATTATTTGAGGTTTATTCGTTTCCTGGTCAATTTTGTCATCATCGTGTAAAGTACTGAGCAGTATTACACACTTATTTTTTTTCGTTGCATATGAAACAATTGTCATATCCTTTTGAAACTCAAACAGTGAACTTCAGACTTCTCTAGTTTTTGATGGCTGGAATTCATTTGGAATTTCCTTTTTGTTTTTTTTCAGCATGCCACAAGTGTTATACCTTTGGTAAGAAGATATTGAGCTAGTGGGTAGCTTGTATACCAATTATCGGTCGTCAGGTTACGGTTGGAACCTTCGTACGCACCAATTAGCCTTTTGACAATGTCAATACTTGAATTAGAAGCCTCGTAAGGTCCTGGGGGTTGATTGCCACAGTAAATTTCAAGCTTCAATGTATAAAACGTTCGTGAGTCAACAACTGCAAAAATTTTCAGACCATACTTTGTGGGCTTGTTGGGGATGAATTGAATAAAAGAGCACATCCCACGAAAGGGTTCCAACTTCTCGTCGATTGTGAGTTTGTCACCTGGTGTATAAAAGTTTTGACAGTTCTGATTGAAAGATTCAAAAAATTCTCTTAGTGCAGCAAGCTTATCAGTTTTTCTTCGCACATACCTTGTGCCTTTATCATTGAATCTAATAGCAGCACACAGGTTTCTGAATCGCTCAAGACCCATGACTCCTTGCAAAATTTCAATTCCAGTACCGTCTTTCGCCCATGCTTCCTCCAAATTGAGTTTTGACATTTTTTGCACCCTAATAAGAATAAAATTCCTAAAAAGGCCAAGATTTCTGCTCTGTTAGTATCATACATGCTTCTCTTTGAGATGTTTTGGAGATCATCTGCCAGTTCTGTTACATTTGAGATAAATATTTGTACATTGTGTACAATAGTATCAATTATATTTGTATTTATGATTTTCTGAAAACTAGAAAGCTCATCATTTATATCTTTACAAGTTTTGGCACTTGGGACATATATTTTTCATCAAATGTTTTCGAGGCGGTTCTGGCGAATTTGCTCTTGAGGGGAACTTTATTCTATTTATAAAGTTTCCTTTTTTTTCTTTCAGAAACTTTCCTCCAAACTTTCTTCTTTTTGTAAATTTTTTTTTACCAAAAAGTCCTCATATTTTAAATCACTCATGTCATTTTCAACATCACTAAAATCATCATCATTTGTTGGGGAAACATCATTTGAGGAAGGAAAATGAGGATGTTTAGAAATATTTCCCTCAATTTCTGAGTGACTTTCATAATCACAATGTTCGATGACTTCCGATTCATCGACATCAGGTGCGTTATCCAAATTGTCGGAGTCTTCATCAACCGAGACTTCTTCTAAAATGCGTAAATAATCTTCAGGAGGTACAATATTCTTTCTGTACATACTTGGAGGAGCGGCGTATTGTGTTCGCCTACGCAACATATTCACAATAACTGCTTTCGGAAGGAAGACGAAAACCAGACTGACCAGAAATACCAGGTGCATTGCACTCATGGAATGTTTCTAGGAGGGTAGAGGAAGGGGGTAGGTCAGGAAGGGGTTGTCTAAAAATTAGAGCCCAAAAGATGGCATTGGCATACTCTGTTCGCCGGCCCCTCCATTGCAGGGTTAATGATTTAAAAATGTTTTGATTTAATTTAATTTAATAATTTTTATTTTAATGCTACTTAATTGACACGGGTGTTATTTTCATCATGTAATTATTATGTTCTAGTAGACTCAGAAATGTTCCCACTTGTGAGAAGTATTTGTTGCAAACCTGATGTGCAAGAATACTTTGAAACTATGCAGGACTGCCTCTTGAATAATTCATTCTTTTCTTTCTTAAGTAACTACGAAATTCTCCACTTAGTAATTTATTAGAGAATAGTGTCATAGGATTTTTTCTCCTTATTATTTGGCATTGGTATTTTGAACTGCTGATAAGTATATGATTGTATACTCTGTTACATTAAACATATTGAAGGAAAGAGAACAAAATAGGCTGATTCATAACACAACCAATGGCAGACCCGTAACTATTGAGACCAGAGGCAAAAATCTCCCCGGTGTCTCCATATTGGAATGATCATTATACTAAATGTCAACAGTAATATATAATTGGCATTTAGTTAATTAAAATTAAATAGTTAAAATGATTTAGGAAAGGTCATTTTTTGCCAGGTCCACAAGTGTTAATCTCAAAATCTTAAGAGTTAGAAACAACTTATATCTTGCAGACAAAAAATGTATTAAAAAAGAGTTTATTAATTTACCATTTTTAATGATTTCCCAAAATACTTTAAACTCTGTCAATAAAATAGCTAAAACTGTTTTTTACAAGCTTTGACTGCATTAATTTTGCATCAACAACATTAATTTTGATGAAGCAAAATGTTTTTATAGCTTCATCAAAATTAATGTTGTTAGCTAATACTTAGCTAAATGCTAATGAAAATTAATGTTGTTAGCTTTTAGTAAAAGGGATTGCCAAACCATCAAGTCTTAGTTGGCTGGTTGTTGACTGAAGATAGCTTTTAAATAACTTGGAAAGCTTCTCTTGTGAGATGCAACTGAAAACATACACTGTCAAAAATGTACATCTAAGTTACGGGCTGATTCTAGGAAATCTAGTCATACAATTTAATTTTCAATGCAGATTACTTTTTAGCTTTATAATTTTTTACATTCCTATGTGTAGGTACATATATTTAAAAACTGAAGTTCTTTAGAGGCCTGTCTAGTCAGAGCTCCGGGGTGGTCTGTCTCACCTCATTACAATCCTAACACAACAAGATACTAATATTTTGTGATATAGAATGGGTCTGGTGACAGAAGCAATGCAACTAGTGTATTTGCATCGATGCTAGTGCATCGGGTGACAGAATTTATTTGAGGGCAGGGCAAAATTTTAAGAGCTAACATGGATGACAGCATTAAGGGCCTCTAAATCTTGCACTGCATGGCCAAAAGCATAGTGCTTAGTCATTGAGAACATTAATTTTCTGTTGAAAAAAAAAAAAATAAGATCTCTGATATAATCACAAAAATTTTTTAAAGGAAGCTATCTGCATATTGTTTAATGTTTTCTATTTTATAATGTTAAATGCATCTTGTTTCATTGTTTACTTTTAGGTTCGTATTTTTTTTTTCAGTTTGCGAAGGACAAGTAGTAGTATTTTTATTTAACATTTTTATATCATTTTGAGATTCATGAGTATTATATGGAAATAAATATACGTAAACAGGCTGTCAATATTATATAAAAATGAATTCGAATTACTAACAATGAACTATTAAAATTAAAATTCTAGTCGTTGAGAATTGTGTAGAGACTTAACAAAAATAAAAATTTAATAGAAGAATCATTTATTCATCATATGTAAAAAATTATGTGAAACCCATAAATTCTATCCTACATTTATTTGCTATTTTGCCATTATTCGTTTTTCTTTCTTTGTGCAATAAATATGAATCTCAAATATGAATTCCAAGTTTCCAGTCAGAATTTCAAATCTACTTGTGTGGCTTGCTTACAGTATGCAGAAGGCGTAGAGTTGGGTTATCATACTATTTTCCTGCTTCTTAATTAGCAGCCCACCAACGACCAAGCAGTAAAGTCACTGAACACTGGTAGTTCAATCTGAGGTTCGAATCCCGCGAACGGGCTGGCTGCATGGGTATTTTCGTGGTTTTCCCCATGTGTAACTTGTATACGAGCCAGTTTCCCTTAGAATGTCCTCCACAAAGGCGTCCCTTCCTTTAGGCAGATAGCCCTCGAGGCTTTACCGTGATTAAATAACCTAACCTTCTCAATTAGCAACAGGAAATTCTCAAAACCAGGAAACTTTATAGGTGATCCAAAAGTTGGTAAATACTTTTTTTAATTTGCAGCCCTACATATTTTTATCACATTCAAATTTTAATGCAGTTACTAAAAAATGTGCATAAAATTACTGGAGTTTTCATATTAAGCATAATTTTTATTTCAGTTACATCATCTATAAAAAAAATTCAGAATAAATGTTGATTGTTGTTGTCATTACTGAAAACTATTTGGAGATTATGTGTGTATAAGAGAAACAGATAATTTTAGGAGTATTTAATTTATGCTGCTAGATAGCATTTTTTAAATTCGCCCATAACACTGCTTGATTTCTGTATACGTGTAACTTCAAGAAACTAATAATTAGAAATGGCAGTGTTTAGAGCTTTGTCATTTATGCTAAAAGTGGTGGCTTGTAATTTGATGCCCTCCAAATTTGAGAGTTTAGAGAAGAAGAAATGTTGATTTGCATTGATTGTTGATTTGAAATGTTGATGAGTGATGTTGCATTTTCTATGAGCAACACAAAATCCAGTGGTAGCTTTTGTTTCATATGAGAGAAAATGTTGCCTTATAATATGCATAGTAAACTAAATAATCCTGAATAATGAGTGCTGTGAAGCAATACATTTCAGTTTTTATACTTTGTAGGGAATATTTGAAACTAACCCAGCATGAAAATGCACTTATTCACGAAGCAAAAAATCAGAACTCTTAATAAATGAACTTTCATGGGTGACACAAAGCCTTACGTTCATCCCATATGATCAATTTAAGGGTGAGCTGGAGCACTGGCTGGAAGCTAGGCTAGATTATTCAGAAACAAATTAGAGTTATTCACTGTGCTACAAGAGAAATAATGCAAAATACTTTCAGATATCATCAAAAGCTTAGTGAAAATCTTCTTGGAAGGTTTAGAGGCTGTGATAGCCATAAATAACAGACCTACATTGACTGATACCTACATGTTCTTATGAATGTTAGGTCATAACATTGTTCATTTTGCCTAAATAATTTACTAGCTTAACTTTGGTTTATAGTATACATTCTGTTCAAATAGAGGTCATTGAATCTCTCTTTTTTCATTATAATTTGGATATGTTATATATTTGGTTTAAAAAAAAAACCATGGAGCCATTAATAGTTATATACTGTTGAATAAATGTGATATTAATATAACAGTTTGAATATTAAACTGAAAATCATATCTAACCATTTTTGTGTAGTAACCCACATGATCTGTTGTAAATATTAAAAAAAAACTAAAATATTATTTAACTTTCAGCTATGGCCCCATATTTGGAGCAGGTGCAGATTTGTGCATTTCACACAACTGCAATGCAAACTTGGAAAGTTATTCTAATTTGCCACATTCATATGATGGGGAGAATGCATCTTGCACTTTGCTGATGGGTGATTATAATTTTACTGTTCTTGACTATGAAGTTTTCACGACACTGGGAAAATGAAAATAATCAAGAACTTTTATTAATAACTTTGTTGCATTAAGGGATTGTATATGTATATTTTTACAGGTAGCATTTAAAGTTTGTGTTACATCTCAATGACCGAAGAAAATTTAATGTTACTGTTTTAAAACGTGTAGTTTGAATAATATAAAATACTTTTACACCTTTAGCACCTTTTAATTCTGTAAATTTCACGATTAAATAAAATATTTTTATAACATTAATCCTATGAGCCATGAAATTTGTAATTTTTGAACATATATGTTATCTCTTAACATGCTCAAGAGTTTATTTATAATGAATTTTCTGTTTAAATGGTGTACAATGTTCTTAAACTATTTAAATTTATAATATTCAGATTTTTACATATATTTATAAAACACGTGTTTATTGAAAATTTTTATATATATTAAAAAGTTTTATATGCTTGTTTCTTATGAATATGTTGAATTTCAAAAATTTTTTTTTTTTTTTTTTTTAAAGTTTTAATGTTATTCCAATTTGCTTACATGGTAAATTTTGTTCTCAAGTATCAGTGATTATTAATTTTGTTATTGTAAATCATGAATATTATTACAATTGTGTATATGTAACCACTGTAAAATACGAGGGCTGTATCAAGCGTAATGTGAAAGGTGATTTGATCTTTTTATTTCCTAAATCAAGTCATCTAAACTGCTTATGTAATTGCAATGATTCATCCTAGACATAAATTTACTACTCAGTGTTAGCCTCCATTTCAAGTAATGCATTTGTATCATTGAACCCATCTCTTAGAACTTCACAAGAATTCGGAAGTGTACTTGGTGGTCTCGGATTATGTATAGAGTACTGAATTTCTCTTTAATGCTGATTTCCCTTTCTTTAAACTTCATCACTTCTCTGCATATACTGATGATATCAGCTTTTCAGCATTCCTCTTTCTGTCGATAAAACGACACTAAGAGTTCCTTTGCCCTGCCGAACCAGGCACAGCAGTTCAACTTGGAGCAGCTTGGAGAGAGAGAGAAGCATCACTTTCGCAACACTGTTCATTATGATTTGCTACCTGCGAATAACACGGGCTTGCCTGTCGCCCAAGGCCATCCCCCAGGCAGCACCCGAACTACTAGAGCCTTGAGCTGTAGGACTTGCCAGATCACTATGCTGATCAATAAGTGATCTTTGTGGAACCTTTAGAACCACTAGGTCCATGATTTGTATATCCTCGTTGCTGAGACTGCCTAGGTACAAATCCTTAGCCAGTAGCTTCACCGAGTTTTCTGCGCTGGCACCCGGGAGGGGGACTCATGTTGTCAATATTTCTTCTGCAACTTTCTGTGATTATTCAACAGCTTGCATCCTTCTTTTTCCAGAAACTTGTATGTGTTGCACATTGTTTGTTCTTTATGTATCCATGAATTATTTGCAGTGAAGAAAAGGATTCTTTTTCTTCAATGCAAATAATGGTTGAAGAGTGAATTCATATGTTGAGAGTTTGGACAATCTGTGTCAGTTAGTAAAAGAGTTAGGCCAGCACTTACTGTTATATTACTTTTGGTACAGCCCCCGTATAGTTCAAGTGCCTTTGTACTGGTGGTTCCTAATCTCTTTTTGGAACTTTTTTGTACTTGAAAGATTTTGCAGCTAAACATAAAATGTGTGCAAGATCTTTAGTTTGATGTATCTTAAAAATGCAGAGTTGTCTACTAATATAAAAACTAAATTTGAATAAGAAAATGTGAATAGAGAAAATTGGTGTTACAATTGTTTGAGATACATAGACAAAGTTAATACGATCATCCTCGATACAAGCTTTAATATGATTTTTCACGCTGTATATTATATTGTCCAGGTGTTCCTGTGGTAGCAAAGGGTTTTCATGATGAATATTATTTTCAAACTCCTGGAGGAAGATGCAGTCAGCCTTTTAGTGCATACCATATATGTTTCATCAGATTTAAATCTAGAGAATGTGTAGGCTACTTCCAACCACTGGATTCCTTCATTGTCAAGATAATCGCTGATTAGTGTTGAGCAATTGTGAGGTTGAGCACCATTATCCATTATGAGAAAGTTATTACGATTGCATCCTTAAACAGTTTGATAGAAAAGAACCAAGAACTTCATATCTGTATATTTCATCAATCATATTTGCATTGGTGAAAATATATAGGATCACTGCAGCCATTCCAGTTGATGCCCTTCTGTACCATGCTACCACCACCTTGGTACCGATGTCTCTCATGGATGTTTTCAGGTGTACTTCATGTGTTTTTCTGCCTGCAGGTCGTAGTATATCTGAAATCCTCTCTCCAAATCAAATTGATAATCAGTAAAGAGGACTAGACTCTAAACTGTGGCATTCCAATCACAATGATCTTTGTACCATTGCAATTAGGTACATTTTGCAGCTGTAAGAAAATCATGGGTTTCCTTTTCCTTGCATATAGCCCTCTTTTATGCAGCCTTTTAAGCATGGTATATGTGGATATTTCAAGTTCCTGTAACTTCAATGAAATCACATGTATATGTGATTTAGTCTGTTTCTTTTAATCCTTTAGTCCCTTGCTTAGTACCTTTAGTCTATTTTTTTAATGGCCAATTAACAATCCTCGAGAGTCAAACATGGGGCATGTTTTTGATATTAACCTGGTTATGAACATATATATTATCAGTGCCTTTAAACTGTTTCCAGGTTCTTGACCTGATGCTTTTGGCTAATTTTAGGTTTCTAGACATGTGTCAGTGTCCGACTTTTCTCGCATTCGCATGCCATTTTTGATAACACATCGTCTTTTCAATGATATGTTCCAACTTTTGTATGTGAAAATGTTATCCCACTGCTTATACATTACTTGAAATTAAAATGATTTTGCACAAGTACTGAAAGAACAGGTACAAATATTTAATTGTTCATGCAATTTTTCCTGCCAGCATGCAAAATTAAATGTGATTTTAAAAAAGGTGTCTGACTGCATACATAGCTTTGTGTTATCTAGAATAACGTAATATGTCCAAAGCATGTTACCTAATTTATGGAGTCCACTTCTGTTACCTAATTTATGGAATGATTATCAAAGATTTCATTTATTCCAGTTTCATGTATTATTATGTATCCTGTTCAACTACCGAAAGAGTTAAAAATCATTATTCAAGAAAAATACCATGTAGGGAAAAGTTAATGATTTATACAAATAGTTTTTTTGGTGTGTTTAATCAATATAGTCCACTTCCATGCTTAAAAAGCACGGGGTCTTTTTTTTTTTTTTTTTTTTTTTTTGTTTGTTTTGTTTTTGTTAAAGCATTTTTGCTGAGTGGGAGCATTTAAAACCCATCAGTCTGAAAGTTTAAAATGGTTCATGATAGGGAAGATGGGTCTGAGATCATCAGATTCAATTCCTTCAGATGTTCTAGATCCGAATTAGCATGGTAATAAGAGAAATCTGACTTTCACCATGGGTGCTCCAGGTGTATTATAGTAGTATGGCTTTTAATATCTAACTATAAGCATAAATTTGAAAATGTGATTATTTATAGGACTTATGTCTATATAATTATGCTGGAACCCAAGTGATGTATTTTAGCACAGTATTATTATATTCAATTACTTTTATTGTGTTTCTGCCGAGTAGGAGCATTTAAAATTCATCAGTCTGAAGATTTCCTGAAATGGTTCATGATAAGGAACAGGAGTTAGAGATCATCAGATTCCGTTCCTTCAAATGTTCTAAATCAGAATTATGATGAAAATTGTGGTGAAAAATCTTACTTTCACCATTGATGCTCAAGGTGTATTATAGTAGTATGGCTTTTACTATCTGACTATAAGCATAATTCACTTATTTATAGGATTTATGTCTATATAATTACTACTGGAACCCATGTGGGGCACAGTGCAGAACATTGAAAAACAGTTTACAAAATGCATTTAGATTAAAAACAGCTAAAATGCAGTTGTGTTATTTTAGAGCATGGAATGTAGCTATTCTTACATGGTTTTGGCATTACACATATATACACATATGTGGTTTTGGCACAATGCATTCATTTATCTTTAATATCTGTATCATAACTGTGCAGAGGTTCTCAATCGTAGAGGTGGTTATGGTTTCAAGGAAGTATTCATATTAATAAAATCAAACTATTATAGCAAAGATCTGGTGGTAAAGTAATGATGCTATCAGAATTACATGATCCAAACCATCTAAAAATATTAAAGGAAAGTAGCATTAAAAGGTACAGAAAGAAAACTCTGTATTATTTTTAGTAAATCCATTTCATGTCCCAGCATAACATTATGTCACTTGAGAGTAATATTTCTTGCAAGCCTGATATATAAAAAAAATTATCAATGTTGCCAAATAAAGTAGCTCTTTTTGTAACTGTTGTATGAATTGCTAATTATTCATTGAAATGAAATTTTAGTTTCAAACATAGAACTTTTAGTTAAAATATTTCACTCAAGATTCATAAAATAAATGTAGAGCTATGGCTTGAGCAATCAAGGCATTTCTTTATCAATTATTAGTGCATAACCTCCCATGCACCCTTATTTTGTGATAAAATAATATTTTTGCAGTTTAATTTTTTAAATCATTTAGCTGTGTTTTTTTAAACAGTTCATTTTAAAGATTCCATGTTCTGTATCTTTAATTTTTGGTGGACTAATTCTTAAACTAATAGGCGTGTCATATCTGCTTTACGTAAAATTATTTTAAGTGTTAAACTGAAAGTATTCATCTATATAACTGTGACCAGATTGTGCATTCTTTTTAATATGAGGGCTTTTCTATGTTTAATTTTTTTTAACTTATTGATACTTTAATGGTTCTCAGAGGGGATTTTGTTGCAGCCCAAAATTTTTGGATCACACTTTTAAATATTAATTATAAAAATCTTTTATATATTAAATAAATAAATAAATAATGCACATTTTATTTTATATAATGAATATTAAATTTATGAATATAGTTTACTTTATAGAATACTTTTATAGAATATAGAAATACTTTTACATTTTATTTAAGAATGATCAGTTCATTAAAAAATTATGAAGCAGGTTGTAAGAATGATATTCTGATACATTCTGAGAAGTTGAACTGGACAGAAAAAGTCTGAGAACCACTTATGTGAAGAAACTGTACAAAAACCATATTTAATATAGCAATATTTTCCCAATATTATTGTAATTATTGTTAATGCAATTTGTCAGCCTGCTATACATTCATTGCTTATTCACTACTTAATCATGATTATCATATAATAAAACATTGTACGAAAACATTTCAGATAACTAATTCACGTCATGTTTTTAAACATAAAACTTGATAGTGATATAATGCATGATTTCCTGGACTAGTGTGCTGCTGAATGCATTTCAGCAGCATATTTACAGACAAAGTCATATTTTCAGAGTTATACATATTTCTTTTCATTTTATGAGTCAGTATTTAATTCTTTTAATTATAACTTCTTCAGCTAATTAATTATATATTTCTAAACTGATGTAAAAATTAGAATTTTTTTGTCACATTGTTCTATTCATTCAAAAGATTTTTGATGTACTTAAAATAAGAGTCTCTATTTTTTAAGAGATAAATTATTTTCGTCTAAGGAATTGAGATATTTGTTATAATATTTTGGTTATACATGTATTTTTTTATTGAATCTACTTTCTTCAAGGAAAAGGTTGCTGTGATCTTCATTTAATTTTTATCATTACTGTGGACTTTTGTATTTTTATATTTGTACACATGGAAACTTTTTTACTGGTTGTGGTCATTATTATAGATACCATATACATATCTTACCAAATAGTTATTTTTAATCTTCTGCGGTATATTTATGTGTATTTTTATAATGAAATGTTTCAATATTTTTTTAATAAAAAGTGATTCAAAATTATCTTTTGCTATCAAGTCTTTTAAGTGCATATTTTTTTGTCATTTGTTACAATACACTAATAATTATTAATGGCTTTATTAATTTTAAGCAAGTTCCATCTTAATTTTTTAACTTTGCTATACAAATATAGTGAAGTATATTTTCTTAAGCTATTCATTAATATAAAAATAACAGCCTCATAAACTTTCTGCATCATCTGTGCTTAAATCTGCATGGAGCATTATTATTACATTTCTGATCAACTAACTATGAATTACTTTAATAAAAATTATCATTGCAAAATAACATAGCTATTTTTGTAATGGTTGTATGAATTGCTTATTCATTGAAATGATTTCAGTTTAAAACATAGGAGAACTTTTTGTTAAAATATTTCATTAAAGATTTTCCTTGTAGAGACACTACGTTATTTCGAAGCACAAGATATAACTATGAATTGGGCATTCACCTTACGAGGAATCACATTACGAGTTCCTTAGCCCATTAGAAACCAGCACAGAGGTTCAACCTCGGCTCTTGCAGCTTGGAGAGAAGGACACATCGCCTTTTAGCAACACCGGTTGTGGACTAATTTGCTACCTGCCAGTCGCTCGTGTTGCCCTTTGCACAGGGACATTACTCAGCGAACCCATGGCTACTAGAGCCTCTGTGCTCTAAGACCTGCCAGACCACTGGGCTGGCCAATAAGTAACCTTTCCGGGGCCTCCAGAAAAACTAGGTTCATAAATTTTATACCCTCATGGCCGAGACTGCCTAGGTACAGATCCTAACCAGTAATTTTGCAGAATTCTCCAAGTTGACCGGGACTCAAACTACGGACCTCTTGAATTCGCATTTAGCGTGCTGACCACACCACCACGAAAGCATGCTAAAGCAGGAGAAATGACCTTATAACCCTTAACATTTTAGTTAAAATTTATTCATAATGCTGGCAGCTTGAATAGTAGCGTATTATTTAGTTTTTGTTAAAGTCATCTAAAATTTGAACTCATGCTGTGGAGTTGTAAGCTGTGTTCCGTGCAGAAAGTCTGGCAGGTTTTCATTCTACAAGATTGTTGAAGCATCTAATTAACTTTTAAGTCTGTTTTCATTAATAGAACTTAATTTGATGTAAGACATTTTTCATGCATTCAGTCTGAATATTATTAATTATAATTCACAATTTTTTTCTTTTTTTAGTAAAATGCATTTTTACACACAAGAGTCAATATCAGAATGTAAACTACCTTTCCTGAAAGTTTTTAAAATAAAATACAGCTTAAAATATATAAATAAAAGCTCTGTGAAAAATTTTATTCGTTCAGGCATTTTGTCAGAAATGAGTGCTAAAAATATACTGGTAAGGATTATAAACTGAGTAAATAGTAAATAATAATATTATTTCTAACAGTGGAATGTGTTCTTTTATGTCAGGAGGAACTTTTTTAGAAGCATATCTATGACCTTGGAAGAAAATCCTCCGTTAATGGCAACTGATTTAAAAAAATAGAGTAGATTAGAAATCAAAGATACCGAAGAACAAACTTTGCAATATTCATAAGAGTAAAATTAAGCTATGTTTTGATCGGAAGGGTGACATTATTGAGCATGGGGAGACGAACAAAAAAAGGTTTACAGCTAACATTGGTGCTGAAATCATTCATCATGGATTATTATGTTATCAATAAACAAAATAAATTGACATTTTGAGTTTCGACAGTGAAGTGGAAGTTAGGAATAAACTGACCTTGTCGTCATTGCATTTCATCCTTTTATATGTTACAAAATTGCAGTTTCTTGAGAAGTTTAAATTTCAGGTTATTTTCTCACTTATCACTAAAATTTATTGTCCTGTTCTTAGGAGTTTCATCTTGGATCTTAATTCTTGGAGAATTTACAGCATATCACATCACTGCAGTCAGATAATAAAATAAAAGAGTATTATAAACTTCATGTCAAGGAACAAGAATCTTATATCTGAAAAGGAGAAATTAACAAATAATCTATGGTGAATCATAGTTTATTTTAATCTTTTCACATCCAAAAGAAAATTTATCTTTAGTTAGTAACATTAATTTCAATCTAGTCTTTTCTAAAGCTTAAAATTCTAATATCTTAATTTTTCAAATTGGTTTGTATTCTCAGTGAGAGATGACCTTCCCCCTCCCCCGTCCATGCATTATTATTATTATTATTATTATTATTATTTTTGGTATAAAAATGATTGACAATTCTCCTTTTTTACAGATTTTGTTTTGTTTCTGAAGAAGAGGAACTTGCATGATTGCCCTCAAAATGGATAGAATTTTATTTGTAATTCTGTGCCAAAATAAAGTTGTTGTTTTTGCCTAATTTTCTTTTCCTGTTAAGTTCAAATTTCCTCAAATCAAATTCAATTTATGCAACTTAGTCTTCTAGTAAGGTTCTGATTAAAAGTTTCTTCTTGCTTTGACATATTAGAGCATTAGTAAGAAAAAAAAAAAAAAGGAATTGTTGCAATGAGTAAGAGTTGAATCAAAATAAAACAAATTTGTAAAAAAAGTAACACTCTGCTTTTTGTGTAAATAAGGAAAATTGTGAAATATTCATGAATTGAAAAATCATCTGTGTTCTATTGAAAAGATGTTTTTAACAATTTAATACATTTTTAAAATTTATAACTTTCATTTCACCGTATCACAAAACTGAAATTTGATGAGAGATTTTTAAAATATCAGTGTGAAATAATCATATGATATGATGTTCAAAGATTTGCCTTTCATACTGAATTTATTATCATTATAAGCACCGATTTAAAATTTTTGAAAGTATTTTTAAATTATCGACTGGTTTTAGAAAATTATCTTTTAAAATGGATTATTTTTTATATTTGTAACGAATATCCTTTAAACTGGAAAGTAAAATCAGTCAGTATTTATTCATTATTGTAGCATTCATCATATTGTAGGAAAACTTAACAGATAATACGAACTGTTGATTTTTAAATCTATTTATGAATTAAAATTGAAGAAAGAATAAAGAAAAATATTATAGCCGTATCACTAAGAAACAGCAAAATAACAAGGAGAGTGGACCGAAAAAAAACAACCACATTATAATTAATAATTATTCCACATTATAATTAAAACATGCACTACACGTTACACATGGGGAAAACCACGAAAACACCCATGCAGCCAGCCCGTTTGCGGGTTTCGAACCTCGGACCGAACTACCATTGTTCATCGACTTTACTGCTCGGCCGCTGGTGGACCCTACTAGCAATGGGGAAAACTCAGGTGTTGTACAACATTACATTACATAACTAGTATACAATATTAGATTTATAATGCAAAGCATTATGTAAAATATATAAGCATTCATAAATGTGAAGTTATTACATATAATGTAAGGTAACTTCAGCATCTGACACCACACAATTAGGACTAGGAAGAAATCTAAAGTCTATTTAAATAACTCACTAAATAATCATGTCTTCTGTTTAAATGGGAAATTACAATATCATGTCCTCTTGGAAAATTAGGAATGTTTTGGAATAAATTTTTAACTTCAAACTTTGAGAAAGTAAAAGAATCCTTCTTTAATCCAGCCTTGAAACTAATCAATCACTCTTTGAAATGGGTGTTTTTAAATTTATTGTAATACAAAGTTAAGTAAACTCAGCTTGCAGCTTCAGTGTTTGAAAATTCTACTCTTTGGCCTAGATTCCAATCTTATAATTCAGTTGGCTACAGAAAATTTTATATTACTTTCCTGAAAAGAAGATTTTACTCAGAGGCGTTTTAACACTCTTAGAGTAACCCTAAAACTTTTTACCGTGTTCGTTATACTTAAAACCAATGAATTTAAAAATTGTCCTTAATAATCATGAATGCTCATCTAAAGTTTGTTTTTTTTCCACTAGATGGCAGCACCAACCTATTTTTATCAATTCACATATTACTGAATGCAAGCGAATATTTTTGCAATATATCAAATGGAACTTTATTATTTCAAAGAAATGCGCCATACGACACTGTTTTAACTCTGCATCTGCATTAGTTTGGAAATTGCTTTTCGAAAAACTAAATAACTTACGGTCTAATCAGTGCTTAGTTTCTAAATTTAGAAGTTCTCTAGTCTTATCGTAAGAGCAGTAAATAAACAAAACAATTAATGTTAAATAGTGAAATTAAAATATATCGTGATAAATAAAAAGATTAATAAATTAATGATAAATAGATTTAAAAAATAAATATGAAAATTAAATGGTATAATACACCGCTTTGATCGGCAAACTCGAATCCCCTAATCGAGAGATCATCTGATGATCCCTTGATCGAGTGGTTAAACTCGAATCCTGGGTAAAGCTTGGATGTTTGTGACTGTAAAGTGTCTGTACGGCAAGGAGCAGTCAAAATGCTTACCAGCCTTATGTCCTCTTGAGTAGCTGGACGATAAGAGAAAGAGGGGTGGGAGATCCCCGGGCTGTACCTCGGTCTGTTCGGCATCAATCGTGAGACATACCTACACTATTAATAAGATGAAATGATACTTGTACGATTAACAGTGAAATTGTGATGTTCTATACCTAAGAGAAAAATATATGTATATTACATATTTCATGGAAGATAACATTATCTGTTCAGTTTTCAAAAGTTTAAACACATTTTGAATGAGAAATTTGATAAGAAATATTAAGAAAAGATATGGATGCTAGATAAAAGTCAATTTAATAATGCTGTGGCCTGTAGAAGCTGGACACAAATTTTTACTTAAGAATTTCTCTATGATGAGAAAGAGTTATATTTTCTTACTTGACTAATTGTTTTCTTTCGATTAAATGGTATTCTTATTTCATATTTCCCAGACATTATTAGTGTCCTCCTATGTATCATCTTAAAAAAAAAAAAAAAAAAAAAAAAACTATTTTGCAAGTTTACTTTAAAGGTAACCACATTTATATCTTTATTCTTTATGCGTTTGCATTAATTGATTATAACTAAGCAGTTTCAAGCATCCTTCCAACTGAAATTTTGATTTTGTGGCTTATAAGTAAGATTATTCTGAATACTAAAAATGCATGTTTTACTTTTTCTGTATTTAACTAAAAGTATTATATATACAGTGGTGGCCAAAATTGTGGGCACGTTTGGAAATTTTTATGTTTTTGAACTTTGTATGCTTATAGAAAATGTTACGTTTCGCAAAATACAAACTTGTATGTATCATTTTAAAGAGAATTATTACTGAATTTAATACAAAAACACAAAATTCAATATTTGCCAATACAAAAAATTTATATGTACTTTAATAAAATAAAAAACACAGTTATGAAGTGGTTTGTAATGTCTAGCATTCCTGGCCAATCACTGTTCTTGTTCTGAGAACCAATCAAATGTTAGTAACTGCCAGTAGAAGCTGACATAATGTTCACACTTGAAACAATTCATTATTTTGCTTTGTTCTGTAGAAGGAGGACCTGTTTCTTATACACTGCAATTACAAGTAGGAATTTTTGTAAAAATTTTGAATATTTAGTCAAGAAGCAATGACATCAAATAAAAGAGTAGATTGGACACCTAGAAAGAGATGTTATATTATTGTGTTATGAGAAAGTGGTCTTCCCTATGCTGAAATTACAAGACAGGTGGGTGGTTCAGTGACTACATCTGGAGTCCGAAAGTTTTGTTTACGATATCAGGAGACAAATTCAATAAAAAAACAAAGAAGGAAAAGGCCGAAAACGGTGCACCACATCTATTGATGACAGAAGAATAAAACGACTATGTCTCCAAGTTAGAAAAATGTCATCAGTGGCCATCAGAAGTGATCTGGATGATGCTGGTGTTTCTGTCAGTTCACGAACAATCAGGAGAAGATTAACAGATGTTGGACTGAGAGGTAGAATTCCACGAGAAAAGCCTTATCTTAATTTTCAGCAACGAAAAAAAAAAAAAAAAAAAAAAAAAAGACTACAGTGGGCAAAGTAACACATTAATTGGACGGATGATCAGTGGTCACAAGTTATATGGAGTGATGAAACTAAGATATCGTTATTCAGTAGTGATGGGAGAAAATATGTTAGACGTAGAATAGGAGAAGAGCTACATCCTGACTGCATTCAAGCAACTGTTAAGAACCCTGTTAGTGTTATGATTTGGTCATACATGTCAGCAGATGGTATTGATCGCCTTCATGTCATCGATGGGACACTGAATGCCAGAAAATACATTAACACTATTCTAGAACCAAAACTTCTACCTTCCATCAGAGATCTCTTTCCCAACAATGCTTCGTTTATTTTTAGCAGGATTCTGCTCCTTGCCACATGGCCAAAATATCGAAAGAGTGATTTCGTACAAAGAGCATTAAATTGTTGTCATGGCCAGGAAACAGTCCTAACCTCAATCCTATCGAAAATTTGTGGCACCGTTTGAAAACTCTTCTCCGAAAGAGGCGCCCATCAAATAAAAGGAAACTAATTGTGGCTGTAATTGTTTCCTGGCATCATGAAATAACGAAAGAAGAGCTTAAAACTCTTGTCAGCTCAATGAAACGTCAATGTGAAGCTGTAATCAAAAATAAAGTACCCTACTGAGTACTGATAACTCACTGCAATCATCACTATCTAATGTATATCGATAACTATTATCGTTTAACTTTTTTTGTATTGCAAATAATTGAATTTTGTGTTTTGTATTGAATTCAGTAATAAATTCTGTTTAAAATGATATATACAAGTTTGCATTTTGTGAAACATAACGTTTTCTATAAGCATACAAAGTTCAAAAACATAAAAATTTCCAAAAGTGTCCACAATTTTGGCCACCACTGTATATATATGTGTGTGTGTGTACATATATTACTTAAATTAGATAAGTTGTGTGTGTTTGACAACTTTTACCAAAGTTTTTTCTTTTGAAAAAGAAAATTTATAACATAAATAAAACAGATATAATCTTCTAAACATTAATATAAAAGCAGTTTACCAATATACTCAATATTTTCTACATTAAATTAAAGATAATTTATGGTATTGCATTAGTATATGCATCATGTACACACAATTCCTTTAAAAGTTTTTATCTTAGAATATCTAAGACTAGTTCTTCATTCTCAAATCAAATACCACAGAGACAGTAATTTGTCATGCTTCATGAGTTTTGAAATTTGATGGAGTTTAAGATTTAGTTCTTGTATATCACTTTCAGAACAAAAATAATATCGTAAATACTTAGATCTTTGGACAATTTCTATAAATGTTTCTTGAGCAACTTTACCACATACTTTCTGAAGATCCTCTGATAAGCACATTAAAGAAAAGGCTTGGATCCTGATGAAATGGGAAAAAAAAGAATTTCAAATTAATACATTTTTCTCACTAGCAATCTTAATAATTATATAATTTTTGGAAATCAGTAATCATAATTTCTCTATCTTTAGAAAATTCTGATATTTTACAACCATTATGACAATCTTTATGCTAATGCTTACCTGGTTAGCAAAGGGCAAAAACTGAAGATCAGATTTTTTTTAAGAAACCATTAAAATATATGCCGAATACCCGTAAAATATTTTAAATTTCACATAAATGGTAATGGGAAAATCAATATTGACTAAATATATAGGAAGCTTTCAGGTTCTAAAGTTTCCTAATTATTTTTAGAAAAAATATTCACTCTAGAACAGGGTTTCTCAAACGGGAATGGAACTATTCGCCGTCAAGACATATTTTTCTTTACACTTTCATAGCTTGCCGTATTATATTAAGTTGATTTAAATTAATAACTCTGTTTAGTTTAATAATTTAGTTAACATTTTATATAAAATATATAAAATGTTTTCGTGTACAGTTTCATACAAATACACCGTTACACAGGACACATTAATTTTAAGAGAGTAAGGGTGCTGACAAGATTCCAAAATAATTCCGTTTTCCATTCAGATTTCACGAAAATGTGAATTTTCTGCTTGTATGTGTGATTTCTCTGAATTAACCGACTAAAATTTCAAGAAATTTTGACGAATCATGTACATATTGTACCTGCATAATTTTTCAATTGATAATATAACTTCTGTTATATCAGAAGTTTAGCCCCAGTTCTCTTTGATACCGACATAATTTTCCAACTATGTGTAATTTCTTTATATCTCATACTTGTGAGTAACTACACTGGTGTGCAAAAATTAAGGACGAGAGGTTTTTTTTTCAATATAACTTTGTACAAAGCTTTCCAAATCAAAATTAAACCTAGATCCCCAATACTAGGACAGAGAATGTAGCAACACTTATCATAAATCAGAGGGATAAAAAAGTTTATGAAAAAGTAGCAGGAAGGTCTGTACGACTACCAGCATGATGCCTCCCCAAACGAGTCACCGCCACCTCCATACCTGTCCCTTTCAATGATGTTCGAGGGATGATTGCGGCTTCCCCGCTCTCTCCAGATGAGTATGCGATGAGAATCGCTACTCAGACTGAATCTGCTCTCATCTGTAAAGAGTACTCGTCCCCATTCATTGTCTCTCCAATTCCGGTGTTCCCGGCACCACAGAGAACGCCTTCTCCGATGGGCAGGCGTTAGAGGTACACACCGTACAGGGCGTCGTGCAAACAGACCACCACCGTGCAGTCTTCTGGCCACGGTAAAACGCGATATCGGTCGTCCAGTCGCCTGTGTCGTGTGTCTAGCGATTTCTCCCGCTGTCTGCCGCCTGTTTCTTCTGGCCTGTAAGGCAATATACCGGTCATCTGCGGGTGTGGTTCCTCGTGAACGACCACTACTAAACCCCCGGATAGCTGTTCCTGTAGTTTGAAATTGTCTCCAAAGTCGTGAAACGATGCTGTGAGCAATTCCGAACTCTGCAGCCACACTTGTCACACTGCGGCCTTCCTCCAACTTCCCAATGATTCGACCTCGGGTAAAAGCATCCAGATGTCGTCTAACAGATTGATTATTCGCCATTTCTGAGGCAGCAACTCGGTGTGATTTTAACTGCTATACGGCGTGCAATCTCTTTGCCAGAAATACTGATCTTACACCGACAACATGCTTTATACTAACTACTCAGACACTCCCCCATTACGTCTACCTGCATATCTGCGCATGTGCTACCGGTCATCACCTTACTTAATCTCCTGATTGGTCTTTCTGTTCGCTCTACCTCTTCGTTCAGCTGATATGCTAATTTTTCGACTTCGTCCTTAATTTTTGCTTACCAGTGTATATATATTCAAAGCACAACCTTTATTAAGTATGAAAAGTTAAACACAATTATTAAACTAAATAAATTTAATATAAGTATAATACTGCAAGATAAAATGCAATCAAGTAAAAAAAATGTCTTGACGGCGAAACGGCCACGATGAAAAGTCCTAAACTCACAAACTATGGTATATTAAGTTATTTTTTTTTTATTTTATAACACAATTTTTACATAAAAGGTTTAAACGGACTTTCAGAATGAATGTAAAATCGCGTCTCTTTCGGTGCGTATATTGGTGCACGTATTTTTTTATTTTTATTTATGTGGTGCAAAATTTTAAAAGTTTGAGAACTCCGAGTCTGGAAGACTAAAACTGCTGTCGTTTCTAATCAGATTCCTTGTAAACAAATACTTTTTTCACGGCAAAGACGCTATCATTCAATCATAGTGAAGCATCCCTGTTGCATAACTATAGCAAAGCTACTTAAGGTTCTGTTTTGTGTACTATAAAATTGTTAATGCAAGCAAGGGAGTACGTGAAAATTTACGATCACCAAGAGCATTCTTCAGTGCTAGAAAACCTAAAGTTACACAATTGCAAGATGCGAGTTGAACAACCTTTTTCTTTGAAGTTTTTGACATTAAGAGACTAAACACGAACTGCTCGTAAATGGAAGGTCTTGGAGGAAGAGCAGAGCCGCAGACATTTTATGCCGTTTTCCCTGCCGTGCTAGAAAAACAAGATTTTGAATACATTTTCACCGAATACGGCTGTCCTTGTGACTGCTGAGAGCCGTTCACACTGGAGTTTATCTGAGTTGACGGAGACATCTGGCATAGCCGACGCAGCTTCAAAACAAGTTCTTTTTTTTTTTTTTTTTTTTTTTTTCCTCCTTTTTTCATAGCGGAGCAAAACCAGTTTTATTTTTTCGGAGTTGAAAAATCTGAACTCCACGTATAGCGGAGCTAGTCGACGCATAGATCAGACTCTGTTAGCTCAGCTAAACCCCAGTGAGTTTGAATGGCCTTTTACGATGAATCATCGGTTCCCTTTGGCACAATCATGTTGTCTGATCACCTGATGCGTAGCTAAGATTGGTTTAGTTTACATTGGTCAAAGTTCTATAAAGTGTCCAGCACGTGGCTTAAGGGCTGTTCCCAATGGGTTTTACCTGAGCTAAGGGAGTCGGATCCATGTGTCGACTTGCTCCGCTATGCCTGTAGTTCAGAATTTTCAACTTGCTGCCCTATGGGAAAAATCTGGTATTGGAGATAGGTCGGCTACGTGAATTGTGTCCGTTAGCTCATTCACATTTCATTACTAATTTGCTCAACACATCACACTACATTCATTCCCGTATTAAAGTCTTTTCTCACCTCCCCCTAGTAAAATTTCCTTTTCATGTCAGGAAGTAGAGTGATTCACCCTACTCCTCGCCCACTGGAACTACTTTTCGTTTTCTAAAATGCTATTTACACGTTAGGCATTGCATATTTATTAATCTGGGATAGGGCTCCTGCGCGGGAATTCACACCTCGTAGCCTGCGGCCACCTAACAGAAGTAAGGTTTGGTTTATATAATTACGGCAAAGCCAGAGGGCTATCTGCCTAAGGCAAGGGATACATTCGTGGAGGACTTTTTAAGGAAAACGGACTCATATACATATTACACATGAGGAAAAGCACAAAAATACCCATGCAGACTCCGTTCGCGGGATTCTAAATTCGGACCGAACTGCCAGTGTTCAGTGACTTTACCGCTCGGCCGCTACTGGGCCTAACAGAAATAAAGTAACCATTTTACTTAACATATAACCAGTCTCTTCCAATGAAAATTGCCTTTTTAGGCTAGAACTTTAGAAATGTATTCAGGAAAATGGGCACCAAAAATTTCCGTATTACCATGCAGCTAAAACAAAAACGAGAAAGAGAAGGAATGAAAATAATAATAATAATAATAATAATAATGAAAAGTGAAATGAAAATTTATACATTTTTAACAGATATAGAATAAGTTACATTTTATAAGAAAAACATGAAACAATATAACATGTTATACCGAAAATTACACATCGTGACTTTCAAAACAGATTACATAATATTATCTAGTTACATGACTGATATAGTTAACTCTAGCATCGACAGACGGCACCACATTACGGTGACTTTTCAGGATGTCTCACTTTGCTCCGCTATGCTTAGTGCCCCTCCTTCTGCAGATTCCTCCGATTTCTCTTCGGAGATTTTCTCACGTCCGAAATTTCACATCAGCAACGTTTTCGATATATGAAGAGTGAAAAATGTAGTTTCTGCAGAAATGTATTCAGTTATGAATAAAACAAAACTTAAAACGATATTTTACTTCTAAATTAAACATTATGTACCAGTTAAATGCTATAAACATTAACCTAAGTAAGTATTTTATGAGGGAGGCGTGGTCAATGCTTAAATGCTAATTGCTTATTCATATTAGCCCAGATGGGCTTTAATAAGCTATATTGATCTAATCCCCTAAGGACAATCAGAGTGTCAACTATCAGCTAGTTCCTAGCCGGAAAATCGGAGAGGGTACGCGTGGTCAATAAAATGTCACAGAATTTTTATCTCAAGAATGGTGGCATGAACAGCTCATTATTACACATACAAATAATTTATGCCTTTGCTTGTCTTAAAAATTCATTTTTTTTAATTCTTTTTAATAACAAAATAAAATATATTTGCTAAACTAACCCTTCACCACCATATGTTTCTATAAAAAGTATAATTCAAGAATAACAATAATTGGTATTGCATTATTCAGATTTTTTCATGACAAGGAAAGGAAATTTCATTAGTGGGAGGAGCGAAATGATTTTGTAAGGAAAAAAATGTAACGTGATGTATTGAGTAAAATAGTAATGAACTGTAAAGATATTAGAAATTTGAAAGCATTTGGGATAGAGATTGGAAAATCAATATCATTAAGTAAACAAGAAAAATTATTAATAATGTGAAAGTGTTCAAAAGAACCCAGTTGATAAAATGAAGAAGCTTTACGGATAATTTTTGAAGATCCCATATTAAAATGTAATTAAGTGACCGCCGTACTTAACTAAAAAAATCCTTTTTTCCTTTCGAAATTTAATTCATATTCCCTGACGAGAAATTTTAGCGCTTTTTCTACTTGGCCAATATACACCAAACAGCACGATACACATCAAACAATACTAAATTAACACAATAATTAAAAGCACATATGAGATCCTTAATAATCGAAAAAATGAACTTTACTGATCGGTGAAAAAAATAAGTATTGAACTCATGGAGAAGTCGAGAAATTTTGTAATTGATAGTAAGTTTAAATAATTATTGGATACATGTCAGTTAACGTCACTGTCGGCTTACTATCCTGTTTACTAAATTCCTGTGTAAGTGTGTGTAAAGTGTGCTGTAACTAAATGTCCTGACGGCTAACTCTCTGTGTCGGCCAAATGTCCTTCAAAGTTCGGGTTCGATCGAGAGAAGGAAAACATGGTTTTCCATGTGGTACGCAATACCAGTGTGTCCGGGGACTTTCCCCAGAGCGATTGAGTCATGCGGACTCGTCGGCCAAATGTCCTGTCGGTTAAATGTCCTGTTGGCTAAATGTCCGTGCCGGTTAACTGTCCGTGCCGGTTAACTGTCCGTGTCGGCTAAATGTTCTGTCGGCTAAGTATCCTTGTCGACTAAATGTCTTGTCGGCTAACTCTCTGTGTCAGTCAAATGTCCTGTTGGCTACATGTCCGTATCGGCTAAATGTTCTGTCGGCTACGTGTCCTTGTCGGCTAAATATCCTGTCGGCTGAATGTCCTGTCGGCTAAGTCTCCTTGTCGGCTAACTCTCTGTGTCAGCCAAATGTCCTGTCGGCTATGTGTCCTTGTCGGCTAACTGTCCGTGTCGGCTAAATGTCCGTGTCGGCTAAATGTCCTGTCGGCTAACTTGCCATGTCGCCAACTATCCGTGTCGGCTAACTATCCTGTCGGCTAAATATCCTGTCAGCTAAGTGTCCGTGTCGGCTAAATGTCTTGTCGGCTAATTGTCCGTGTTGGCCACTTCTCCATGTCGGCTAAGTACTGCAATGTATGACCTGTAGTCCCACTAGTCTCTAGATAAGGGTGGACGTGGTGCTATTACCAATTAACCATAACGGTAAAGGGATGGTGCCCACGTCCTCCGTCACTAAACTAAACTAAACTAAGTGTCTGTGTCAGCTAAATGTCCTGTCGGCTAAGTGTCACAGACCTCAGATAAACCCCAGTGGGAACGGCCCTTTAGTATATTCATGATGAATTTCAGTGGGTTTCCTTCAAAGCAGGTGAGAAATGTAATCTTGGAAAGTAAATGGTCCATCTCTAGCATTCAAAATACTTTAGTTGGGAGGATGTATCCTTCAAGACGAAAGGTTCTACCATCTGGCTGAACCAGTGCTTAATGAATCTTCTGAAACAATGCTCAGATTTTTACATGCTTCCAATAGTGAGGAAAAAGTTATAAAGCTCTTAAAATTTATTAAAAAATTAAATTGTGTTAAATGAATGAATGAAAGCATATATTATAGTAGCATATATTATAGTAAATATTATAGTAGCATATATTATAGTATTATAGTTCTCTAGCATATATTATAGTAAACACGCATTTGGTTTGAAGACAGGTAAATTCCTAATTTTTCTACAAGTTTGGCTTATATAGGTATTATCTGGTCCCATTTAGTTTTCATAACTCGATTATATTGTAAACAGTAAAAAGCGCAATCATAATGGAGCCATCTATCTATATTTATGGTTTGAATTTCGGATAATATCTCGCATTTACAATTTATTTATTTAATTATTTTTGCATTTAAGCGATATAATTTGACTTAGTTGTAAGATTTCACATCAAATATGTAAACGCTTATCTTGCTGACATAGATAATACAATTATAATTAATTTTAATGAATAAGGAGTTATACTTGAATTTTGCCTTATTTTAAATTCTTGTAATTTTTAATTGTGTAAAAGCTTTACTAGCTAAGCATCATTACCATCATTCGCTTTTCCAGAGATCCATATGCATTGTGCAATTCATTTCAATTGACTGTAGCTTAATAATAATAAGAAATTAATTATAGCAAAACTAGGCATTTTACTTCTCATAAACCACTTTAAATTTGCTTACAAACATTCTTCTTTTATAGATATTCCATTGTCACTTTCCTCTGGTAGGGTGTTTTGGAGTTCTTTGTATGCTTCATGTGCAGATGATCCTTTCCTTCTGAAGTTTTCTTCTTGAGTTGCAAAATATTCATTGGCACATGTGACAGATTGAACATAACCTATAATCACAAAAATAAAAGCGCACCAATCAGTGTTTATATTATCGAGTTTTATAAGGTACATAAGATTTAACATGAGAAAAAAAGGGGGAACATAAAAGTTTAAAATGAACCTTCTCTCCCGATAACGAGAAGACCAATAAAAGCTTAAAAAAATGGTAGCAGTTATTTTACATCTGAAAGATACTATAAACGGTGAAGTTTCTGCCTGTACAATAATGGGAATTCGGTTATTTTGCCTGCAAATACACTAAACCTAGCCTGAGAGGCAAGACATTTTGAGTGGCAGGGAAACTCCCAATAGTTTTTTTTTTTTTTTCCTGTTCTTTGGGTGGGTAATCTAAGACTTTCTTTTTAAATTTTCTAAAGCTTAAATCTAAGGTAAAGAATTAAGATTCAGACATCTCTGAGGGCACAGAAACCGAATCTCACAGGGTGCTAGACACACTGCAATAAACAACTGAAAGTTCGTCATGGTCAGCGCTGACAGCGTCATGGTGAGCGCTGTCCTGGTCAGCGCTGACATCAGTACATAAATACAGAAGGAGGAATCTACTTTTAAAAGGATTATGTAATATTGCCTTGCATTATTTTTAAAAACCGCGCAAATTTATGATGAACTTAATATATACTCCTGCAAGAATGACACCAAATTTCCAATAGCACAACCAAGACTTTGATTTTTATTATGAGAAATAGACTACAAGCTGTTATAAATTCAAAAGTATGAATACAAAGTATTAAATTCTCTTCCTGCATTTTGCTATATGTTCTTGCCAATACTGTTTTTGACATACATATGTATGTTTTTGTCGCATATTTTATGTAAAAGGCATATTAAAATGAAAGTTTTATTAGATTTGTGTGTTTATTATCTCCTGTGTTCGTTACGTCTAACTAAAATTGCCAAGCATTCATTTTCGCACTTACGAGGTACTAGTCCAATGATTGTGATGGTATGATATGAATGGTGATGAAATGGTAAGTAAATAATATCGTTTTCGCTTAATCACGAAAGAAAGACAGGAGTAACGATAATCTTTTAAAACGTGTATCTAATTCAGAAAGAAATAATCACAAAAACAGTATTTTAAATTAGATGTCTTACTTTATTTTCTTCAAATTTTTGTTAATGAAGATTCCTTTCCTTAGAAAATTACTTTTGCAAACTACCCGGGGATAAGCTTTTCCTTTCGGTAATATGGGGATTTTATGCATGATGCTTTCAGATGATTGGTCCTACATATGGTAAAACATTTTTAATTATTCATTTATGCCCTACAGTGCATTTCTATTGTCAAATCGATCGAGAAGGAAGTTCATACCTATTCTAAAATTAGAGACGATTCACAATGAGGAAATTCAGTAAATGATTAGTAACGTCACTACGTTAATTTGTTTTTAGTTCCCTGCATATTTAAAAACGTTCTATACATATTCAGATAAGAGAATTTGTCTGCTCGAGTGAAGAAAACTCTGATACGCGATAGCAATACGAAGCAGAAATTGCAAAACACGTATTCACAAGCTGTACGCAAGTGATGGTCAAAAATTATATTTCCACGTTTTCCAACAAACAGTTATTTCTCATGAAAAGAATTGGTTTTTTTGATTTTATGCGATTACGGCAAAGCCCCCGGTGCTTTCTACTTAGGGATACCTTTGTGGAGAATTTTCTAAGGGAAACTGGCTCGTATACACGTTACACGGATGGGAGACTACGGAAACGCCCATGCGGACAGCCTGTTCGCGGGATTCGAACCAATGGACCGAACTACCAGTGTTCAGCGGCTTTACCGCTCGACTGCTGGTGAGCTCTCCAGAAAAACGAGAAAGATAGTAAAACGGATAAAAAAGGTAAAAACCTAAATAGAGAAAGATTTCGCAAAAAAGAGGAGTGTTTTATTTTTTAAACGCATTATACAATTCGGTTAATCTTTGGATTATGGTAACTTGGCGACTTTTTGGGCGAAAATTTGGCAACAAACCCTGCTACAGCAACCTGCTAGTTTTGTTTTGGACGCCATTTTGTTTCCACGAAGTAAAGGCATGTTTTTTTTTTACTCAACATTTTTTCCAACGATCTGCTAGCCGAATTACGCTTATACTAGAACTTTTATGGAACAAAAATACTTAATCATGACGAAGATTAGGTGCAAAATTCGGAGAAAGTGCAGAATCGCAAACTACTTCCCGCTTTTTTAAGAATTGCACATACACGGTGTCATCCATGTACACGTCGACCTAGTTTCACTTAAAAAAACATCCCAGAATTGCACAAAAATGGCATTGCGCTTGGGCTTGGGCTGATTATAGGTCAGACAAGTGAGAATTAGCAACAACAGTATGATATACAAGGGTCTCATGCAAAATGCGAGTTCACCAGTGGCTGACAGGTAAAGTTGTCGAACACGAGTAGTTCCACCCGAGTTTAAATCCGGGCAAACGGGGTAACTGTATTGGCATTTTCCTCAGTTTTCCCACGTGTAATGTAGGTACGAGCCAGTTCCTTTTAAAGAAAACCTCCACAGAGGCATCCCTACCGACAGGATGGCATCTCTGAAATTAACCTGACAATTTTATTGATATCAGTCTCTACTTTTCAGTCCTTTTTCTAGTTATTAAATTTAATATAATTTTATACCGTAGTTTCTCAGCAAATAACCTCTTAAATTTACTTATCAAATTTAACTTACATTTTAGTTGAATGTTTTAAAATACATACTTTTATGCAAGATGCTTTTGTTGTCGCACAAATCGTTGGCCATATTCTCCATGTTCAGAAGTGTTTGAGCAGCGTTTGAAGCGATTTCATTGTGTTTTAACAAGGCTCTCTCTGCTGTTGTCATTCCAGTACACAGCTCTATTTTTCCGTGGAAACAGCTGAAACTTTTACGAGCTAATCTAGAGAATAAATACAATACATTAAAAGCAGAAAAATACTTCTACAGTGTACTCCTTTTTTTTTTTTTTTTTTTTTTTTTTTTTTTTTAACGAAAGCATTTTAATGAGTTCAACTGAGCCAGGAAGGTGTGTTGCTGCAGATGTTAAAAATCTAAGAAATGTTTTTAGTTGGTATTTTGACTAACTGCAGATTATTTGGAATTTGGCAAAAATTGCGCGAAGGTTAATCTAAGGAAAAGGCTGCCTTCCTGGAGAATTCTTGAGAGAAAATAGCTCCTGTTGACGTTACAAATGGAGAAAAACACAAAATCTTCCATGCAGTTGACTCTTTCATCATGTTCCAGATCGAACTATAGTGTTTAGGTTTTTAAAGTTTGGCCACCGGTTGGTTTTTGATAAATGAGGAATAAGCAACTGCGCAAGGATTATTAAAGGGCTTAAACATGAAAGTGTGAACACTGATAGTTTGGTCCGGGGTACGAATCCTGCCGAACGGGCTGGTTGCATGGCCTTTTCGTGGTTTTCACATGTGTAACGTGTATACAAGCCAGTTTCCCTTAGAAAGTCTCCTACGAAAGCATCCCACCTCTTACGCACATAGCCTTCCAATACTTAAGAGTACCATAATTAAATATACCTTTCGAGTGTCAGAATTAAATATACCAAATACCTAAACATGGAAGTGTGTAGCTTTATAATAAATTTATTCAGATTTTTCCAAAAAGGGAAAATTGTGCTGCGCAAATATTTGCCTCTTAGTTGTCGGAAATAGTATTTATTAGATATTTAAACAATTGTTTTAGCTTCAAATGAAGCTCTGTTTTCATAGGTCTACCATCAGGCAAGCGAATAAGTCCCCTAAATACTGGTAGTTTGACCCTAAGTCATATCGCAGCTACATGAGTAAATGACATGGCTACCTGAATTAGTCAGCACCATGCATAACATGAGTGTAAATCAGCTTCCTTTAGACAGTTATCCACGGAAGCCTTATGCGATGGGCATAATGGGCTATGCCATATCTAAATTAATCTTCTTCCGATTGAAAAAAAAATCAGTACTACTGTTTTTTGTAAACGTTTGTAATACTGCATTTAAAATATTTCTTAGAATTTTAGCTTCTAGATGATAGCTTTAATCCTACGCGTTAATAGACGTTCGTACGGAGATTAAGGAGAAAATATTACGAAGAAAATTTCCAGAATTTCAAGTAATTTTATCTTGAAAGATTATTTGAACCAGCTTTTTGTTTAAGCTATAAGCAGTCAGACTACAGTAACGAGACACTAGAGTACATCACTGACATAATTTTACAGAAATTTCTCCCTCACCATGTGATGATAGTGGAATACTTTATCATGCGAAAAGACTAAGTTTTAAGTTTCCTCAAAAAAGGAGTAACATATATAACAGGAGTATTTTTGTTGAATAAGGAATAGGAGAATTTACAATTCGTCAGTGGGAAAACTCCTTTAAAGGAATAAAGATAGAGAGTCAGATTTAAAATATCTTCCGATTCCATTCCTTGAGCAGGCTCCACGAGCGGCCCAGCGGTAAAGTCGCTGAACACTAGTAGTTCGGTCCGAGGTTCAAATCCCGCGAACGGGCTGGCTGCATGGGGGTTTTCGTGGTTTTCCCCATGTGTAACGTGTATACGAGCCAGTTTTCCTTAAAAAGTCCTCCACGAAGGCATTCCTTCCCTTAGGCAGATAGCCCTCGAAGTTTTGCCATAATCACACACAAACACACACACTCCATTCTTTGGGAAGCTGAACTGCAAAAGACTGGAATTTACTTATGAAGAAGGCTCCCCTGTGCATTATCGTGCCTGAATACTATTCTTATAAATTAGTATTTTAAAGCATCAGTTATTTTTGTTTTATTAATAATATAAACAAATAAAATGATGTAATAAGCAATAAAAAGGTGATATAGTGGTTGGTATTGCTTGTCTATGACAATACATCAAACATCAAGATATCTAGAGCAATTCTGTTTGTGGCACATAGATAGATTTCAAAACACTTCTGATCTAAAGTAAAATTACTACTCAAAAGTTCACATTCTATAGCCAAACTGCACGGAAGAAATTCTGACTAAAGGCTCCAGATTTTAAAGTTGCACCAGAAGGTTTGTTAAGGCTTCTTATGCTCTCGCTGTACTTTCGTTTACCAGTCTGCTCTTGAACTCATTCCTGCTAACTAATCTTTTTTTTTTTTTTAGTTTTAAACTTTACTATTCAACATCGCTTTCTTCGTACTTAACGCCACATAAAATTCAACAGTAGCACAAAATTTTTAAAGCGACATATTATTAAAATTATTGAGAGTGTTACGTGTTGCAGCATATTTTAGCACCAGGTGCTATTAGTTCACTTTTCACTTTAAAAATTCGAAATTCACTTTTTGTCCGAATCACTTTTCAAATTGTTGCCATCGAATGGTATAGCAGTATATGTACTCTACTCTGAGACACAGATAAGTTTTAGAAACACATGTTGATTTTCATCAACATCTGTCTGAAAACAATCTATTTTTTTATGCAACAGTCTATACTGTTATCGATTTATTTCATACTTGGTAAAATTTAATGAATTTTTTTTAACAGACTTGGCGATTCGAAAAGAAGTGCACTTGTTCTAAATGAAACGTATTTAATTTAAGCGAGTGAGGCTGATGATATTCGGAAATTGTTAATTAGTGTTTCTTTAGTAATGAAATCGGAAATGCGCGAGAGTCTTTATCATTCATTTATAGAGAAGAATAGCATAAGTGTGCTAAAAAAATAAAAATCTGAAAAGTTTCAGATTTTAAATTACGTCCAAACGAGCGTTTTTTAACCTTTTTCTGTGTTACTTTTATTTATTTACTATCATGTTCTTCGCACTTAAACCATAAAATTCAGTTCAACAGCAATATCACAAAATAATTTTAAAATGAGCCTATCTTTAGAATTTCCACTATACAGTCTCGCGCTGGAGATAAAAATATTTTATCTGTACGACGTTGCCATGGCTCGCTCTGAAATCCTTGAGTTTGTGAATCAAAAGTTCGTTAAAGGTTTACAAAATATGAAATCGATCATAAAACAAATTCCAAATTTGGGCTTCCAGATGCCCATATTCGCAATTATTACGTTATTCAAGATTGGATAGCTCAAGGTACCGTTGTTTTATCACAATGCGTGAAACATACATGCATTTATATAGATTCTTCATCATTTAATTTCTTTAAATATAATACAGGACGATAATATTGGGTGTCAACAATTTGAAAGGCAAAACAACGCTTACCGTGAATCGACGCAAAATTCCAAAACGAAATTAATAGTCCTGGGCAAATTGCCCCTTTGGACTAATATTTTTTTTAACGGGAAATATTGCTTTAGAATAAAGACAACAGTTTTTTGCGATATTGTATAAGATTTTCCCCCTCAAAATTCGGATCTGGTTTTTAATCAAATCAGCTGAGAATTGGAAGGAGCCGTACTTATGTCAAGATTTATCGTTATAAGGATTCTCCGAGACAGCTATTAATTTTTTACTGTTTGAGATAAGAAATCATTTATACTTACGGACACATTCGTTTCAAATCATTTTCAGTAGGCAAAGCGACATCAAGTGCTTCAAAACTTTCATTGAGATCTTCAAAACATTGTTCTAAACTGTCACACGTTATGGCAACTTTAACGGCTCCTGAAAAATAGGATGTGATAACCGTACATATGAAAGCCATCCTTCACAAAGTAAAAAAAAAAGTATTTGATAAAAACTCAAGATAACTGTTGACAGATAACTAGAATATTTCACGTTAATGGTCTCATAGCTGGCGAAAACGGCTATCTGCCAGACAAGGAAAACTGTAAATATCCCACTCCGTGACCCTTCAAGAACGAGTCATTGTGTTTTCTAATAAGGTTTCTATAAGTCACAGCTCGCTAATCAGCTATTACAACCAATGGCCGAATGGATAAACCATTGAATACTGGTAATTCGACGTGCGTTTCTATATGGATGGTTTAGCAGAAAAGCTAAAAATTAATAAAAAAAATCTTAAATATTAAAATTCCGAAATATTGCACGACTGATTTGTAAGTTGTCAGGAGTTATGATTATGGCTAAAAAATGATCATCTGGTGGCAATATAAACTGCTGAAACACTTAAAAAGAAAGCGGCGTAAGTGTAAAGATGGCCGCCCATTGTTGACATGCATCGCGTATTATTATTAATTACGTGTTCCGCTGTAAGGCACCGAAGAGATGGATGTCTTTGTGGAGGATTTTCTAACAAAAACTAGCTCGTATTAACACATAACACATAGAAAAACTCCAAAACGCCCATGCAGCCAGCCCGTTCGCGATTTCGAACCTCAGACCGAATTACCAGCGTTCAAGGTCTTTACCGCTGGGCCACAAATGGGCCATGCACCATCTGTAAGGTGTATTTTGCATGACGAAGGTATTAAACCAAATGAAATTTATCACAAGATGAAAACCCAGTATAGTGATTCCTATGTTCCTTACAACAAGTGTTTAAAAGTTAAGAAAGTTTAAGAAGTTTAAAAGTTCATCCTGCCGGTAGGAAATGTCATACTCACTCTCTTCTGGAACGCGAAAGGGGTCATTATGAAACATCACATGGAAAAGGGAGCAACGGTGACCGGTATATTTTATGCAATTCTCATCCCAAACCACATTCGCCATCTAATCAACAGACTTGTGAATTTAAGCTTATTGTTTGCTGCACATGACAATGCTTAACCACATATTGCACGAAAATGACTGCAAATCCAGGATATGAAATGTATAAATGTCTCACACAGTCACTTCATTTATTAGACATCGTCCGCAGTGAATTTTATGTGTTCTGACGGCTGAAAAAAAACGATGGAAGGCAAATATTTCCGACATTACATATCAAGTGCCGCCCAACCGGCATAGTGGTTAGCGCTGCTGACTGCCGTGCCGAAGGGCCCGAATTCGAATCCCGGAGAAGGCATGGATGTTTGTAAATGTATACTGTCCGTGCGGCATGGGTGCACACTAAATAAGGGGCCAGCCGAAAGTACTCTCGAGAGGTTTAGTGGTTGGGTAAAAGGGGTGGGAGACCCTCGGACCCGTCCTTCCCGGGGTGCTGTCCATCAAAGCTGGGTATGGAACTGAGCTAAATCGCACTGTCACCTGTGTGGTGCTCAAGGCTTTTGCCAACCACAGGCGTAAATTTGCGCTCCTTGCCTCGAGGAATTTCGTAGGCTTGGGGTGACTATAGGTCAGACAAAGTGAGCATTAGCACCAACAACAACTCCGTGATGCACAAGTGGCTACAGTTACAGGAAAACCAATTCTTGTTGAGAGATAGGAAAGTAATTCCGAAACACCAGAACAGGTGAATTGCACATTGTGTTGAATGATTACGTTGAAAAATCATGTTACGTAAACAATTTTTTTTGTACCTCATCTACCCCATAATTTGAATCACGCTCTTAAGAACATAATACGTAAAAGAATAGTTGAAGTTAGTAAATTACATTGAAAGAGGTAAATAAACATCTCTTCTTTTAACTTTAAAATTTGAAGAGACGTAAACATTCAAAAAAAAAAAAAAAAATGCGATTTTATCATCTTCAAAATCTTGTATTCTGTCTGTTTTATTCAATACATGTCACGGTTTTGAATCCTGAAATTCTACATTTCGAAATTTCAACCACTTAGCTTTTAGTGCCGAACAGTGACTGAATACTGGTAGTTTGGCCTGGGTTCAAATCCCTGCGAACGAGTAGGCTGAATGTGTGTTTTTGCGTTTATTCAGATACGTAACGAGAAGAATAATCAGCTTTTTCACGTACAAAAGTTCTCTACGAAGTGACGTACAAAGTCTCTTTGTTTTTAGGCAAGTTGCCTAAAGAGTTATTTTTCTTTAATAAATTTAGATTTTAAACAGCTAAAAGTCTGCTGACTACTTTTTAACGCGTTATTAAGCTAATTATTGAAAAGGTATCAGATAGATAATGTACTGTTTATTTATACGTAGTTGAAACTGGAGAATGGTGGTTTGAGATGTCCGGCTGGGAGTTTTATTTGCACTCATGCCTACTGTATCATCAGATATTTTAAAATTATATTTCATCAGAGGAAAGCCTAATATTTTTCAAATCAAAAAGAATATTTTAATTTATATTTTTAAAGCCAGAGTTGGTATTTATCTCGAAAATCACTTTTGCCACTTTTCAAACTATTGCCACCAAATGTTATCGCAATGTACTAATTAAAAAAATTGAATAACGAAGAGTCTGTACGTATTGTAACCACGATTGTAAATTATTTATTGTTATTAATTAGATAGAATATCTACTGAGAAATGGCAACAGCTAATTTTGGATGCCGTTCTATTTCACATTTCAAAAAAGATGTACGATCAATATACAGGATGTTTCAAAACTCATGGGCAAAAATTTAAGCGGTGATAGAAAACATTTAAACAAGCAGTTTTCACGTACAAGGCAGGGGCGGAGAGCAAGCGATGGAAAGCATAAAGCGCGAGCTTACTTACACATGTCATTTCTAGCTTGGATTTCAGAAGGCATGTGTACGTGCAGCAATCAGGAAAAGGCGAACATGCATTTTATGTATGGTCTTGCATATGGGAAAACTCTGGAAGCCGAAAGGCAGTTATTTCCTCAGAAGACATGTGCCACACCGAAAATTATTCGAATGATTGCATCGGTTCGAGCTTTGTCCTATGCTTTGTATAAAGCTGGCCGGGGACTACGGGGGTTGCGCCCGCTTGGACGAGATCCCTCGATCCTGGATATCATAACCCCGTTAGAGGCTTATACCAGGTCGGGGGACCAGATCCTAGTGTAATGTGTGAAACGAGATCTTTTGTCACCAGCATGCATGGTACAGAGCGTCACAAGTTATAGAGAACATTCTGCAAAAAGTAGAAGATCGTCCGAATATTAGCAAGCGAGAAATTTCCCGTGCCGTAAATGTGCCCCACTCAATTGTTTGGCGAGTATACGGAACGAAGGATTACACCCCTGCCCTATACAGAAAGGGCAAGCCTCGATACCTGCAGATTATGTTCCACGTGTCCAACTTGCTTTTCGGTTTTTGCAATAGCTAGCAGCGCAGCCTGATTTCAGTGAGCATGTGTATTATGAGTGACACATGTGCACTGAAATGAGGCACACATGTCAATTATGAGTGACGCATGTGTCTTTAAAAATGTCTTATGAGTGATGGATTTAAATCCAGAAGACGTTAACAATATATATATGATGCACTGTGGAAAAGCGACCGCACCTGAGCAACTAAATTTAAACACGTTGGTCCTCCACCCGTCCATGGGCATAATTTTTGTTTAAGAAACTGGACGATTTGAAAGTAAAAACTGACACCACTGTTCGAAATAAAACACTTTTATTCTTCAGCGCGCAAGACTATTCCCATTCGGCAAAATGCAAGATATTTACGGCAACATTACCCCTCACCGTATTTGTAGAATAGAATCTTCTCAAACCACCTTCTTCTCAAGCCGAATTATATTTATCATCTCCACGCACTAGCGTATTGCTATTCAGTAAAGCCTAAGATATTTAATTTTCGAATTCAAGCTTTCTGTTGTTGAGTAGCAAACAAAAAAATCTCTTTGAAAGCTTGCTTTGTTAACTTTGCCGCTCGAGAGGCTAGTTTTCAAAGAAATAATATAACAAATATAAAAATAATGTTACGTCAACCCTGGACATTCTATTGGAAATTCTAAATATGTTGTTTTTAAATATTTTGTGATTTTCCACTTAAATTTTATGTGTCATAAAGGCGAAGAGAGTGATGCTTAATAATAAAGCTAAATGAAAAAAATATGTGTTAGCAAGAATGAGTCTAAGAGCAGAATGGTTACGTGCGATGCCCAGCAAGAGAGTAAAAAATTAGCTACAAGTCCTCTGTGCTACGTTAAAATCTGAATCCTTTCAGATATTCTTTCTTTCCCTTATTAATTTTACTTTCAGTTATTATAATAATGTTAATTACCAAAAAATATTAAATCTGCCTTAGATGAAACATTTTTTGAAAGAAATGAAAGATATGTGTGATTTTCTGTTGCTTTGGGAAACAGAACACAGGGAGCTAAGATGGGCACAGGGGATAAAGATGTCAGTCAGAAAGAACAAGCTGAGCACGTTGTCCTCATTGTTAAAAGTACTAGGAATTTTAATTTAAATGTCATTGAATTGATAATCTTGTTATGTCCGTTATTAAATAATGCCACCATTATTAAATGATGTTGTTACGTGTCAAGAAGCGTTAGATTACTCTTGTCGTTGGCATCAGCCTTGAGCACCTTACAAGTGACAGTGCGATTTAGCTCAGTTCCTCCCCCCACAATTTTGACGTAGAGCGCCCCCGGTTGGTCGGGTCTAAGGGTCTCTTACCCCTCTTCCCTTCCACCAAACCATTTACAAACATCCATGCCTTCTCCGGGATTCAAACCGGGCGTTTCGGTATGGCAGTCAGCAACGCCAACCACTATACCGGTTGGGCGGCTTAATAGCTGATGATTTATCTCCCCAGTGGTGAGCACTTGACTATTTTCGCAATGGCGGGCATTGGCCACTCCTAAGGCTATAAGCGGTGGCCATTTTATTGTGGAGGAACTAAATAGGCATCCACGTTACCTCATATTGAGGGATCAGACAATTTACATTCATGCCTTCTCCGTGATTCGATCCCGAGCCCTTCGGTATCACACTCGGGTTTTCTAACCGCTATTCATCTGGGCGGCATAACTGACGATTAATCGAAACAGATTACACAATTTGTTTGTAGCATTCCCTTGTAGAGGACGCTAAAGTTTTCAAAATCCAATCCTAAAAGTATCTTGAACTTTTCGAATCCTTCATATAAGAATAATAATTGGGAAAAATTTCATTTGTTATTATAAATCATTAAATAAATGAAAATTTGAAATATAAGATTAATGAAAATCATACATAGAAATGCTGTTTTCAAAAATACCCCTTTTCATTAAAGCAGTACAAAATTTTGGTTAATGCAGTGCTTAACTAATGCCTTTGAATCATGGGGTTAATTTTTACAATAGAACAGAAGGAGAATTACTTTTAATACATATGAAAGCTATCAAGGGAATGCTAGGTGGCCGCCATAGGTGATATTGAGGATTGAGCTGCGTTGAAAAAATAGAAAAAATCGAGCTCTTTTTTTTTCTTTTGTTTTGTTTCTATTAGACGTCTGTAACACTAATTTTTCCTAAGATTCTCGATGGTTAGTAAATTTTTATGTTAGTTCCCGAAATATTCGTACATAGAAAAAGGACGTGAAGATTCGAATTTTTGAATCTCCTTTATTTTTGAAGATTCGTAGACTTCGATAACCGAATTTCCCAACTCTGCTTTTTTGCAGCAGAATAATGAAGCCTGGTAAAAACACTTTTCGAAAGAATATGTCATCTTAAGGCCGTTAAATTCAGTTTATTTCCATAGTCATACTATTTGAAATGTTTACTACATCAAATGGAAATATTGTTTAGTTGCATGCTGGAAAGGTGATTCTCAAAACACCGAGTTTTAAGTTTTAAAAAAATTTAACAAACGAAACTTAAATTTGAATTATTAGCAAATAGCATAAATGACACTAGATCAGGGCTATGATCATTTATGAAATTATAATCATTTCTAAATTATATAAACAAATGATTTATAAATTTGATATAAACAAATGATTTTAGCAAATGGCATAAATTAAAATAGCAAATGGCATACAGATGTCTTAAAAAACTTACCTAAAATTGTGAGCAGTATCGTGATCAATTTCCACATATCGAGTGCCAAGTAGGAGTTTTGAAGTGATAATGATCGGTTTTCAGCCAAAGTTTTATTCGAGTTCGTTACTCACATATAAGTGTGAAAGATATGACTATTTAAACTGTCTTAAAGCGGTTTCTCTTTCATAACGAATATGATTCTTCAGCAACAGGAAGTATGTTTAGTAGATATTTTTAGAAAGGAAATCCTTGTAGGGAAACTGTCTTGAACGGAAACTTCGCGACGTCTTGCTTACTTATTGACTCTTACGATTTAGGGATATATACAGTCTAGTCTGTATGATACACGATTTTATATGAATTCATTCATATATATATATATATATATATATATATACATATATGAATGAATCATGCGAACAATTGTGGCCCGGGAATCTCGAACAATTGTGTGGTGAATATATATAAATATATATATATGAATATCTTATGAAACTATATGAAGATATATATGATATATATTGTTTCGCAAGAAAGCAAGTTAAATTAAATTTAAATAATTCTTGAGCCATTTTACTTTCTAACTGAAAAAACTTCACCAAAAAATATCATTACTTGGTTATATATATATATATGTGTGTGTGCGTGTACACACACATGGGTGTTTTACGCATGATATATGTATAAAATAAATATGAACTATTTCAAGAATTTTTTTAATTTAAAATTTTGTTTTTATTAAAATTATTGAAGGTATTTTATATTTTGAATCAGTAATTTTTTTCTAAAAATATTCAGACTTCAGAAAATGTGTGGCTCATGTTATTTAAGCACCTAACATACACTGGCATTAAAAAGAAGCTACAACGTAGCTCATGTAAGAATGATTTTGCAGCTAGGAACAAGGTATATATATATATATAAGAGATATTTATTTTGCCATGCCTAACATTTCTGAAAAATGCGGAGAATTGTCTACTTCTTCAATATTAAATTTATATAAGAACGTAAGAAGTGTTATGAAAAGTTGGAGAAATATATGGAAAATATTAATGAGATGTGTGCCATCTCTGACCGAAATGCCAAATCTATAGCGATGTTTTAATGCTATGTATTAGACTACCAGGAGTTTCCACAGAAGCAACGTTTATTCAAAATTGATAGCATCTTGAAGTTTCTGAAGAGTCATTGATGGTGGGCTGCAGTCATGCAAGTCGGCGTCCTAATGCCATCCATGCATGTTCAGGGGATGGTTATTATGCGATTGCACTCTTAAACAGATTGAGAAAAAGGTTAAAAAATTATATTTCACCATTCATAACTTCACTTGTAAAATTTGTAGTTCACACATGTTTCTACCGATGCATGTCATGACTATTTCAGGCTTATTACATCTGGATTGCTTTCTCCAGATTGTAACACGTCTGGAAACACTATCCGAACAAAACCCCATATATATATATACCCATATATCCCATATATATATAAGACTTATCAATAACGAGGACTTGGTTTCAATTTTAGTACTCCAATCAAGATGGTCTCTGTACCACTTCGAAACGGGTGCATTTATCAGACTGAGTTAGGTGGACAAAAGCCATGGATTAATTTACATACACCTTTCTTTTATGCAGCCTGTCTCTCATGGCGATATCTGATGTGTACACCACATAACTTTCTTGTACGGAATATTAAATTATACGTATTTGAAATTTTTCGCGGTTACAATACTTCCTTTTACTTCGTACTTGATTACCCAGATACCTGAATAATAAGGGATAGATTATTGAAAGGGAGCTGAAATAATCTTCCTTGCAATCTAGGAAATTATTGAACGTCATTTTTTTTAGCAGTGTTTTTTTCCAAATAACATTCTGAGACGTTATTATGGCACGTTTTCGATCATGAATTGGTTATCTGCTTACATAACCAGTGTCACTAGACAATTTCCAGATTATTGACGCTATGCTATTGACACTTATCTATTGTATGCTTGAAACCATTAAATGTAAAAGTTTAATTAGTCTGTCACTTTTAATTCTATATTTAAAACCATATTTTTAAAACGATAATTGTGAGCTTTTTATAGTCCGAAAGCATTCGGACTATAAAAAGTTCACAATTATTAAATTAATTATTAAACTAGTTAAAGTTCACAATTATTAATTATTTTAAAATTCTAATGGAAAGGATTATGCTTATGGAAGACATTTTCATTTTATATGTGTATTTTCATATTTTTTTCCCATGAAGCTGAAAATACATTTATTAATTGTTACAACATACTTAAATCTTGTATTTAATGTATTTTCATGACAATTTCATACTAATGCGCTTTTGCATATCATTAATTTCATCTCTTAATAACGATGATGGTATGTATGTGATATTAAATGGGAAGTAAATAAAATATATATTTTTTTAAATAAGTTCTTTGGAAATATTTCAGATTTAATCATTTAATATAATGCACTTCATTTCTCTTTCTAAACATTAAAAAGTAATAGAACAAGAAAGAAATTAGAAAGATCAGTAAGAAAATTAATTTTGCGATCCAAATCGGAAAATTTATAAAATTTAGCATAAATTAGAGTTTGGCAAGTGAACTCGTAACAGAACGAAAAGTCTGAAAAATAAAAAAAAATTAAAAAAATGTTTAGAGGTTGGCATACATATTTTTATTTTGCTCTATCATTTCTTTAAAAACTAGCCAATCGCGCGGCCAGTCGCTTAAAATAGTTGTCATAAAAAAGAAAAATATATAATGTTTTAAAAGAGTCCAGTTAGTATAATTTCATGTAAATAGTGAACATTTCTGATTAGACCTCTCGTGGTTTGATTGCATGTTTATTTAAATTAATTACATTAAAAACTAGTAAGAAATAAACTTAGAAACTGTGTTTATTGCTTTTAAATCGCTTAGTATATTACTCAGTAACCTTCCAGATTAAATTTGAAAGTATCTTTGGCTTTACTGAAGGGTAACACTTTGGCGAGTAGAAGATAAAAGTATTTTATTTCTAGACGAGGCAACACATTGCTTCCACAGAACAGAGTTTATTAATTAAAACTGACAAATAAATATCTTGCATTTTTTCGAAGTCTCGTGCGCTAGAGATAAAAATATTTTATTCTTACAGTGTTGCTATTGCTTGTATTCAAATCCCAGACTTCAGTCAAAAATTTATTAAAGCTTTACAAAATATGAAATAAATAATAAAGCAAATTATAAATTTAAAATTCAGACTTCCAGGTGCACTTGTTCGTGTGGAGGACTAGAATATTCAAAATGTGATGGCTGTAAGTATCGTCATTTTTCACAATGCAAGGAACATGCATGCATACATGCAGATTCTTCATTATTTAATTTCTTTAAAACTAATACAGTGCGATCATATTTAGTGGCAACTGAAGCAAGGCAAAATCCCATTTCGAGTCTAACAGTCCGATTTGCGATAAAAATATTTTTGCTTACGCAAATATCTTCAACTACCTTCAAACTGTATTTAATAATTAACACTACCTTTAACTGTATTAAACGGTAGGAAATCCGCATGCTAAAAATCATTTCTTAATAAAGCTTACGTGGGATTCATAAGAGATATTCCGCAAAATTCACCCACGTTATTTCGCATTGACGTCAAAGAAGTATGACGTCATGTTTTGGTGACGTTGATGTCTATCATTTAAGCAAGAACACTAACTTGCATTTGAAAAAAACTAGTTTATTTAACTTGATAAAAGCTGTGACATTAATTAGTGTACGTCAGCATCTATGTTTACGACAGCTTAAGGCAGAAAAAATTATATACGTACCAAAAAAATATTATTTTTATATTAGAGGTACTCCCATTAGAATTAGCTTATTCCTTGTCTACAATTATGCTCATTGTATTTTTCGTATCTATTATATTCATCAAACGCATACACTGTATTCATTGTGTATGTAAATACTGAATTCTTTCAAAGAAAATAATAAGAAAAACAATAGTAACTGAGGATTCAGATCGGTACAAAATCCAAATTCGAAATTTGTCTTCGAGAGAGATTTTTAAGTTGGTTTGGTTAATTACGGTAAAGCCTCGAGGGCTGTCTGTCAAAGGGGAGGGATGCCATCGTGGAGGACTTTCTACAAGAAAATGGCTCGTATACACGTTACTAGGAAAATGCCCTAGCAGCCAGCTCGTTCGCGGAGTTCGAACTTCGAACCGAACTACCGCAGTATTCAGTGACTTTATCGCTTGGACCATGATGGGTCTTGAGATTTTTAAGATCAAACCTTTCTATATCTTCCTATATTAAGTTGACTACCGTTTGAATGAATGTATATTAGTAACAGATAAAATAACAAATATATTAAAATTTGAGGTGTTATGTAAATTAAAATAATATACAGTTTTAAAAACTGCCTTCTAAAGTAGTACTTTGTGATCGAGATTTTTTAAAATTTTGTTGCATCTTAATTTTAAGAAAGTAAATCATTACATGTAATGTACAGTTTACATTAATGTAGCATATTTCTCGAATTATCTGAAGATGGTCATTTCGAGCAACTGAATATCGGATGAGAGAAAGGAAATGTAACGCAAAAATTTACCACACGTAATAATGATCAAATGTATTACACTGACTGCAATTCTCTGGATCTCTAACCAACTTTTCTAAAACATCAGTGATTACTGATAAGCTTTAGTGTCAGTTTCAGTGCATCGACCGTCTTCATCAAGGTTGAAAGCGGAAATGTTTCTTATATGGCTCGAAAAAAATTTGAATAAACACTGCAAAGTAAACAAAACTGAAAAACTTTCAGATGTTTCAAGTTGTGGAAAAGTTGTGTAGTGGAAAATAATACTATAATGGCATGAAAGGAAGACGAAATTCTGTCTTTATTCCAGCAATAGAGGATTTTTTAATGGTTCCTCCTGCTTCATTAATTAGTAAAGCAGTTTTAATAATTGCAATATACTTTGCTTTTTGTTTATTCGGTTATCAGTGAAAGTCATGTTTTTAAACAGAAAGCTATTAACATGCATAGATGTTTACGTGGTTTTCTCCTTCTGTAACGTGGACACGAGCCAGTTTCCCTTAGATGGTTCTTCCCAAAAGTATTCCTCCTCTATAGGCAGTCAGTCCACCGACCAGACAGTATAATGGTTAGGGGAGCCTGACTGCGATACTGAAGGGCCAGCGTTCGAACCCCGGAGAAGGCATGGATGTAAAATTGTCTGTCCCTTCATAGGGGGTAACGGTGGCCGCCTATTACGCGCCTTCACAATGAAATGGCCTCCATTTCCGGCCTTAGTAGTGGCCAATGCCGTTGAAGGCAAGTGCCCGCCATTGGGAAAAAAAAAATAGGCAGTCAGTGTTCTTTGCCATAAAACCAAACCATATCAAAACCGGCCGCCAGTGAATCCCATTTCAGAATGATGATCGATATAAGGCTTGAATCAATGTTGCCATTAGGCGGGCAGTATGAGAGTTTGGGTAATATTTGCTTATTTTGTGTTCATTTTGATTTCAGCGGATTCCAATTTTAACAGAAAATATTTCAATCAAGCCTGCTATTCATTCTTCTACTATTATATTGTAGACACATTAGGTATTTTTCTTTTTTTGGAAGCAGGAGAAGGGAAAAATGAGCTACGCCTTCGCCGGCCAAGGAGCACTGGAATACACGCCCAGCGTGCAGACTACCACACCACGAAGCCATACTAAGAAGGCGGAAGAAATACCTTATATAGTCTCCCTGCTAAAGGGCGACTTGGGGTTTTAGGGGACTCAATCGCCAAAGGCTGGGTGTAGCGAATCACCATCCACCACCCTTTAAGTTCGGGCGCCACTGTAGAGACATTAGGATTATTTTGGAAGCAGGCAAGATGAAAAATAAGCAACGCCCTCGTCGGGAATCGAACCACGGACCTCTGGAATACGCATCCAGTGTGCACACCACCACTCCACGAAGACATGCTAAGAAGGCGGGAGAAATACCTCTAGTTTTGATATGGAGCGATACATGTCTGCAGTAAGGCTAAAGATCGTAACAGTTTTATTTGGAAAACGGAAGAAGCATTGTTTCTACTCAAACTTACAACGATATTTCAGTGTCAGATATGCTGTTTTTAACCCTACGATATTGCAACTTGGAGCAAATTTGAAGAGACGGGACCAATAGGAGATGAAAGGAGGGCAGGATGACTTTATACTGAAGATGTGCTAAAAGGAGCTCATAATTTGCAGACAGAACATCATTTATTGGACAGCATTTATCGTAAATAAAAACTTCTAAAAGCACACTTTGCATTACGAGTTTTAAAATATAAATTTACTTAACTTATAAGGTATTTTCTCCCCCTTTTTGATGCTTTCGTGATGTAACGGTTAACACACTCAGCGCGTATTCGAGAGGTCCAGGTTCGAGTCGCGCCGAGGGCGCTGCTTATTTTTCTCGTCTCCTATTTCATAAAAGCCAAATGACTCTACAGTGGCGCTCGAACTAAAAGATGGCGCATGATGATTCTTCAGCACCAGGATTTGGCAATTGGGTCCCCTTATCCCCAGTAGTCTATTAAAAGGGGGAAGTATATAAGGTATTTTTTCCCTCCTTTCTTCATGCCTTCGTAGTGTAACGATAGCACACTAGGCGCGTATTAAAGAGTTGCAAGTTCAAGTCCCGGCGAAGGCATTGCTCATTTTTCATGTCTCTTGCTTCCAAATAACTTAATGACTTTACAAACATTTCGTATACCTTTATTAAATTTAAAATCGTTAAGGTACATTTGGGGCCATACATATATATATATATATTAATTGGATTATGGCGACGCACACAAGTTCGTTATATTTGGAGCTTATATTTTTTTCATAATCTTTAATTGGCAAAGACTGCGTTGATTTTCTCATTTTTAGAAACATCCTGCCAACAAAGCACTTTATGGCCCCCTACTTTGAACATGTTTTTGTACTTGCAGCCTGGATAAGAAAAATTCAAATCTAAAATTGGTTTTATTCGATTTAAAAACAACTGAATTTTAAGCAACTTATCTCAGGTAATATAGCGACATGTTTTTAACTTTGGAGGTAACGTATGGTTTATGATTTTGGTGGTTATGTATTAGGTATTCATTCGCGAATAGTTTTCGGGTTTTTTTTAAATATATTTATATTTCCATTATTATAATATCAAAATAAAATATTCGTATTAATTTACTGGCACACACAGAGCGCTTTCAAGATTTAAATGAAAACGTCCTTGCAGTAATGGAAAAAAGTAACTGTTTTTTCCTACGGAACAAGCCCTTGCTTCTCTAGAAAGCTGTTGTAAGTTATCATGTTAATTTCCGTCTAATCTAATTTGCCTGCTAATATCGATAGCCACATGAGAATTTCTTTCCTGCCGGACGTTAAATATCCTGCAATTAAAAACCGATTGGAACACAGTTGGCATAAAAAGAGGGCCCATTTTACTCAATAAAATAATTACAATTTCTTTCGCCAAACGATCGCTTTGATATTCAGCATGTGGAAACTAAGTTTGCTGCTGTTTTTAGGTAAGTTCCCTGAAACTTCGTTTTGAAACAATATGTAGTGACTTAGAAAACGTTCCTCTTTAATGGTCCGCTCTTCCAAAAAAATAATGTAAAGTCTTTGGCAGACGTATAGGGAAAGAATATTCTTGTGGAAATTTAGCAGGGTTGTGGAGTCGGTAGGAAAAATGACCGACTCCGACTTCTGGAATTTTTGACTCCGACTCCCTCATATATGGCCTCATATATAAGAAAGAAATTATGACTATTTGCGAAGCATAGAAATGCAATGTTTTAAAATCCCATACTTAATAGCAATAAAAAGGGCGGTAGGTTCTTGACACTGCATTTTATTCTCATTGCTAAAATGTTAATTATTTCACATTCATTAGTCAGTTAATCATCTTCTGTCAGGCTGTCACCTTTTCAGTTTAAGTTTGATTCATCGTATTATAAAAAAATTAATTTATGTCATTACCTTCCCTTATGTATACTACGAACACAGAGGTCATAATGCAAAACGTACTGTATTAATTTCTTGCCCAGTTTTCGGAAAAGGTTTGTTGTACAAAGAAACTCGGTTTCGAGTCTTTATCCTCCTGTATCCATATTTATTTTGCCTCGAGAATGCACAGTTGATTATATAATTATTGTTGAAACTTATAGCAATGTTGGATATTAAGCAAAACGCACTCTAGAAAAATTCTGTAAAAATTATACACGGTTTCACCGTTTTTAAACTGTTCTGTTGTTTGTATGAAGTAGTAAAATAAATTTTGTATAAAAATATAAAATCAAGATTTGAAATTTTCTGTAGCAGAATAAAGATAAATATTCCCTGTAATTGTTAGTTAACTGATAATAAAAGACCTCATTTCAAAGAGCTTAATTATAAAGTAATTAATATAAAGAAGCACATTTTAAAATTTTTGTCTGTACAGGTTATAAAAGTCTTATTTTCTCTGGTAGCATAAACTAGTGGCAAAACTCCTAACAGACTGGCATCAAATTAGTGCTGAATATGAAAATAACGACAAAGTCTTGAGAAGATTAAAAATTAATCTTTTTTTTTATTAATTAAGTAATTTAACGGAAGAACATACCTCGAGCTTGAAAAACTCAGCTAAAATTTATGGCGAGGTAAATTAAAGTAATATTTAGTTTAAAATTTAAATAAGCTAGTCAAGGACTACACAATTCAACTTAACGCGAAGTCGGCTTACAAATCTAACCGGGTAAGTATTTGAATATTCGGCAGCAAATAATGCAAAACCGAAACATTCAAGCTATCAGAGCTGGGAGAAACGTATCGTGCATACACACTGGCAGAAATACGCTCTGTCGTATAATCCAACAACCTCAGCTTTTAAATACGCAATCTAATTTGCATTCTGGTTAGAACGGAAAAAGAAGGGATGTTAAAAATCTAAATCATAAAATAATTGGTTACGCAAAGTAATAATAACCTTACAAGGTAACTGATATAAAGCAATATGTTCCTTAAAATAAATCTGATCCTGCTAACGAAATTGTAGGAGCTATGTGAAGAAAGAGAAAAAGAATGAAAATGTTGCTGCAACTGACAAATTTCGAATTAGAAATTCCTCCAGAGGACTCTAAACGCAATCGATGGCAGGTGTTAAACTGAGAGATGAAACAAAACACATTAAATTATATTAGCGATGAAATCGGTTTTGTTGCTGTTGTTAGTTATGCTCACTTGTCTGACAGCGACATCAGACCAAGCCCACGAAATTCTTCTTGGCAAGAAGCGCTCAAGATACGCTTCTCGTTGGCAAAATCCTTGAGCATCTTACAGATGGCGGTGCGATTTTGCTCAGTTTCGTCCCCAATTTTGATGAAAGCATCCAGGGGGGCGAGTGCAAGGGTCTCCCCCCTCTACCAAACCCACACAAGAGGTATTTCTGCTAGCCGGATATTTAGAATGCAGCCATGCCGCACCGAAACTTTGCATACATTTACAAACATCCATGCCTTCTCCAGGGATTCGAACCCAGGTTCTTCGGCACGGCAGTCAGCGACGCTAACCACTATACTGGTTGGGCGACTGAAATCGGTTTTAAAAATTATTATATGACATTTTCGATTGACCAAAATTACTCTGAGATGGACAGCTTAAAAAATGTAGATTTAAATGGTATTTGCTAGGAACAGCTGATGTCAGAAATATATCTACGATAGTATTCCCCCTTTGTTTAAATATGGTAAAGTGCAGAGGACATCAGCGTAAGGAAAACCGCCCAACAGGTATGGAGGTTAGCGACGCTGACTGCCGTGGCGAAGGGCCCGTGTTCGAATCTCGAAGAAGGCATACATGTTTGTAAATATATAGTGTCAGTGCGGCATGAGAGCAGTCTACATATGCTGGAGCCGAAAGCTCTCTCGAGAAGTTGGAGGTAGGGGAAGACGAGTGGAGGACATTTCCCCCCCTGGGGTGCTGTCCAACAAAATTGGGAGGGGACTGAGCTGAATCGCGCTGTTATTTGTATGGTGCTCAAGACTGTTGGCAACGGAAGGCGTTCCTTTCCAGGAGGAATTTCGTGGGCTTGGGCTGACTATAGCTCAGACAAGTAAGCTACTCACACGTACTGTACTCGAATTCCAATGTTTAGATTTCCTGTGACAGTTTTCATTAGCTTTTATCTTATAACATCTTCTGGTCCCAGAAACATGTCCTTTTGGCTCTGCAAAGCAAACTTTAAGTGAAAAGAAAGCATTTTTACTACAAGTCCAGAAAAAATACTGATATCGACGTTTCAAGAACCTAACCCTCTGACTGCTCAATTTGTGGATCGAAATCGCTTCCAAATTTTTTTTTTTTGGTTCATTTTATAAATCTATACATATTTGAGAATTGAAAAATGCACTTTTTCTTTCTAGAAAATATTTTTTATTTAGATTTTCATCATGAGAAATTAAGTTGCCAGAAAAATCAATTTCGGATATTATCACCAAAAAAATCTTTTTTTAAATAAATTTCAGTCGAATTACAGTTAATTTCTATTTATTGTATAATATAAAAAGGTAAAATGTATAAAATTTAAGAAAATATGAAGAGCTGAGGGAAAATACCTTAGAAATGCAGCTTAGTATGATAGAGTTCAAAACAGGGTTTAAGGCAAAGTCCAGCTTCACAGTCTTTGCACCAGATTCAATAAATCTAATTAAGAATTAATATAATTATTAACCTAATCAATAAATCTGATTAATAATTTAATTAAATAATCAAGATAATCGCTGAACGTTTTTTAACAGCCATTTTTGCAAGAAAAAAGCGGCAAAAAGTGAAGTTTGAGCGGTAATACCAAGTACCTTCAAATGCCGCGATTTAGTGGACAACTAACGATATCTGTTGGCCAAAATGTAAACTAAACGTCTAATACTGTATATAATTTATTTCAATGGTTAAACGGGGAAAAAACGGGATGCGCTCCTCGATAAAGGAAAAAAAAAAAAAAAACATGCCCGCAGAAATTGCGGGATGAGCAAATTTTGCTACATTTGAGTTGCCCGTGGAAATAGCGGGATGAGCAGTCAGAGGGCTAAACGCGAGTACGTTTTAATCATAAAAGGGAATCCATCAGAAAAGATTTTGTTAAAATCTTATTTTATTATTAAAGAACTCGAAACTTATGATTTATTATGGTTGTTGAAGCATCGTTAAAAAATGCTTTAATTCCGTACGAAAGAATTAAATTACACTGCATTTCATTTTACTTTCAGGCCTTCTTGCAGTCAATAAAGCATGTGAAGAAAATATTATAAGGGGATGTTTGGATGAGCTAGCGGCAGATATGGAGTCACTTAGAGGCTTACCGAATGAAGACGAATTACGACGAATTTGCCCGTATGTATACAATAGACTCATTTATTTCAATAAAAAATTAAAATGATATGCTTTTGGAATTGTATTAAATCATTTGTATTTCTGTAAAATGATTCACGCTAATTATGTTTTCCAAATAAAAATCTACCTGCAGTTGCACGGCAGGAATTTTCTATAACATATCTTCTAAATCGAGTGAAATGAATTTAGAAAAGCTGTATTTATGTGTAGTATTCAGAACGAAACTACGATTTTGCTTAGTTAGGGTCCTTAGTCTACGATTTGTTTAGATTAGTCCTCACTGTCGTTGTATAGTTTCTAATTATGATATAGCAGCTGCGATCATTAGTGATTATTTATGAAGTACAATTTTCTATGTGCGCGTGAAGCGCTATTTAATAATTAAATCAGTTGCTTCAATATCCAGCAAATATTCCAATATGGGAACTGACGTGAAACTTTTATTAATCTTATAAATGCATCCTCACTTCTCATCTAAAAGTTTAGATGCAGCGTTTCTCAATCTTTTGACTAACGCGTACCATCTAAACAAAAACCTTTAGTACCACTACTACAAAGTACCACTACTACCACCATTTTCAAACAAAGCTCAGATCGCATAAATTTACGAGTGTTAGAGAAAACAATCAATCAGGATGTTGGGGTTTTGATTTTTGAATTTAATAGTTTAAAATACTTTGCTTCTTTGCGTACCATCTATTTTTATCTTGCGTACCCCGGTTGAGAAGCCCTGGCTTAGAGGCTTTAAAAAGCTTTTAAATTAAGGCATTTTTAATCATTCTGTATAATTTATTTCACAGATTAATATCATTCATTTTAATTACTACAGAAGGGTTATTAATGAAAATTAATTGATGTTATTAATGTTAAAATTAGTTGTTTGGTAGAAAAAAGTATTTCATTATTATATATTAGAAAAAGATTATTTGGAAAATTCGAATATATTTTAAATTTCTTGAATTGAAAACCACGGGAAATAAGAGGGTTCAATTAAAAATTCAAAATAATGACTCGATAATTACATAATGCTATTTTACAGATTAGAATTATAAATGTGAATAACTAATGAATTCATAGACAAAAGAACCTATGACAACAGACATCCGTGTTCCTGAATTGGAATATGCCAAAATTATGTAGAAAAATTTCGCAACATCAATTATACGTCTGTTGAAGGTAGATGACAATAAAATCCAAATGCAGTTGTTATTGAAATTCTGATTATTAACTGAACATCGGAGAGAATAAGAGGAAGCACGAGTTTTGATATAAGTTTATTAAAGTATTTTCATTTCTATTGTTAATGTGAATTTAGATGAAAGGATTTTAAACATGGATGATCGATTAACTGATAATTTGACAATGCCAGAATGATGTTGCAAATTAGATTATCATTACTGAAATATCATTAAAGTTATTCCAAAATTCACTTAAGGGCTTAATTTAAAATGATGCGAATTATTTGCATAACTTTTTTACGCAAATATTGATACTTATAAATTATATTATTAAATATTTTTATTATTGTTACTTTTAAAATTACTTTCGATCGTAAGGAAAAGCAATTATATTGCACACATGGTTTTAAGCATTTATGTATGAAATATTATGCCTATAAATTGAAACATAGGAATTTTATTAAAAAAATAATAAATTAAGAATATTCAACAAAATGTGTCAATTACGAAAAATATCAGATTTTGTATCAAAATAATATTCTTTGCTTTCTTGTTTTCGGAAGAGGGATGTTAGAGACTTTCGAATGCATTCGAAAGAGAGCTCTAGCTTGTAGAAGAGGCACCCCGGAGGAGGCAGCCAGACGGCAAGATGACTTAGAAGATGCGAGATCCGCTCAGCTTTTCCTCAATATTGAATCGCTCGTAAAAGATCTATGCGATGAAGATACCAGCTTGCATAAAAGTAAGCACAGCGTGAAAAAGTACCATATTTAAATAATTTGGAAATAATTCTATAACTTGGCAGAAATGTCCGTGACGCATGTTTTAAATGATAATCTAATTTAGTTTCGAAAGCTGATCATAACAAGTGAAGATCTCAAAAATTTATTTCATTAAGATTTAATTCTTTTCAAATTTTATTTTTGATTGCAACTATTAAAATGCATTAATTTACATTTTATTTATTATAAAATAAATTATCAGAAAAACATTTTTTTTTAAATTTAAGGAATATATAGGCATCTTGAGTTTTGAGTAGGATATGATAGCAAAAGGAAAATTTTCTGCTGGACCTTATGAGGTATTTCTCCCTCCTTCCAGCATGCCTTCGTGATGCAACAGTAGCACGCTCGGTCCGGGAGGTCCAAGTTCGGGAAGTCCTGGTTCGAATCCCGGCGAGAGCATTGCTTATTTTGCACGTCTCCCGCATAAAAAAAACCTAATAACCCCACAATTGTGTTTAGAAAATAAATGTTCAAAAATAAATAAAAAGAATTGTCCCTTCTCGCCACATTCGCAATTTTGATCTCATCGGTGAAATATCTCAAATTTGATCATTTTGTCCGATTTTCATTATCGATCATTCGACATATTCTATTTAGGCAGTATTCTGAAATCGTACAGTATATAAACAGAAATCTTAACGATTGTAACCTAAGAAAGCTTTATTTAAAGTTTGTTAATAAATTAAACTTATTGGTAAACATGTTTCGACATATGAAGAGCTAATAATGCGAAGCTTTACACTCCTGATTTATCAGATTTAAAATATAAATATTACTTAAATAAAGCTAATGACAGTATACATTTCAATTTATTATTCGAATTTTCCCAATTTTTTCCCTCTCGCAAGTTAAATAATATTGAATATAAAAATGTTAGGTTAAAGTCGCTGTAAGCTGAAAGACAAAGTTCATTTCGGTGGAAATATTAAGGAAAATTAAAATAACTAAAGTCGACACATATAAATCTGAAATTCTGAATTTTAAGTTTTTTAAAATAATTACTCTTTAAGATACAATTTAAATTTATTTAAAAAGATAATTCGAACAAAGCCACGTTAAATTTGAACTTTTATATTTTAGTCACTATAAAATACATGATTATCAAATTTATGCATATGTATATAAAGTATTATTCAGTACACATTTAGGCTTCATTTATTTTGGTATCAAATGCCAAATTTGTTTAAACTTTATTTTATAATGCAGGCTATATACGTACTCACCACTGTACCAGTGAATATTTTAGTGAGCCTAAAATGCAGTGCAGAAGAGAAGCAGAGGCTGCATATGCAGCTTACAGAGATTTGACAGAAAATCTGCCAGAGGGAAATGACATCGAAGAGACTGGAAAAGGAGAATGCTTGTAAGTGATTCAGGGATTATAAATTAATAAATTGATTATCCTATTGTTTTTAAAATAGTACTTATTGTAGGGTTATTAAGAAAGCAGCAAATGAGTAATGATTTTATCCATAACAATCGCAACTCTATATTTTTGCTTTGCAGCGATGTGTCCTACTAATACGTACAAGTAAATTGTTATATTAACACTATTTTACTTTTATGGGCTGTTTCATAAAATTATTGTATTGAGTGTAATCATGAAAAGTCCAGTTCTTATGTCAATTTAAATTTTGAGACATAAAGTATAAAGAATCTTTATGTCCAAAGACCATCTTTATGTCTTATCTTACCATCTTTACGTCAAAGTTCTTATACATGTGGAGCTATTCTTAATACCGATTAATTTTGATAGTCTGCTCATATATCTAATTGTTTTCCTATCTATCACGATGTTTCTTATTCATTAAATGAAGAGTTAATAAAGCAGTATTAGAGGGGATTTCTAGTTGAATTATCGTGTTAATATTTGGGCTTATATATGATTAAAACAACTAAAATAAAAATAATCGCATAATAGTATTAATTTTTGTCCCATGGATTATTGTGTATACTGCAGTTGCTATTATGGCTTGAGATTGATCATTTGAGATTGTACTTCAAGTCAGCCTCCATTCGAGTGTGGTACAACCTAAATGAAAATAAAATGAAGGAAAAAAATACTTCGAAAAGAAATACTTGGTAAAAAAATATACGGTAAAAAAAAAGAGAGAAGAAGAATTTGAAAAGAAATATCAAATATTTTTCTCTTCGAACTAGTAGAACGGCCTTCCTTCTTTAAATAAAGGAAGTTTGCTAAAACCTGTATATTGCTGTATTCTTGGTCAATAGTTCGAAAATGTAAATGATTCCAGAGCTAGTTAAGACAGCCGCAATTCAGATGCAAATTAAAAATAGTAAACGTAAATGAAATATAACTTCATATATAAATGAAAAATATGAAAATATAGTAAATATTATTTCATTATCTTTCCATAGGGTCCAGGCATACGCTTTCGCATGCATAGCACACGATCTTCAAACTGCGTGCGGTGAGGAAGCTCGAGCAGTTTTGGGAGAAATTATCCAAAGGTCAAAAATTTCGAAACTGACCACCTGCTCAGACGTAAACATCGAAGAACTAAAAGCTAACTTCCTCGAATCCTTGAACTTGGAGGAGGAACGAAGAGATATTTTCTCTTCAGCTTTCTTCATGATAAAGAAGAAGAAGTAATCAGTGGTCCGTGACTGCAAAATAACCTATAACCTAAATCCATTAAATATTCATTTAATGGGTAACACGAACTTTTTGCATTTGTCTGAAAGAATTACAAATTATTTCGTAACGTTTCATTAAAATTTGAAGTAAGGAAATAAATCGTTATTTTATTTGATATGCAATGCATCGTTTCTTTCACATCGTTCTTCCACATTTCACTGAAGTATTCAGTAATAACATATATGGGACAACAGCAAAAAATATTCGACTTTTAAAAGGAAGGCTATTTTATTTCTAATGAATATGCTTTGCTATACACAGGGCTAGCATAAATGATTCATACATTTTGAAAAGGGTATATTTTCAAAAGTATTATGCGTACACACATGAAAAATATGTGAAAAGAACCACAAACTCACCAAGGATTTTTCACTATTTCATCAAGTTTACCGGAGAAGTGGAATGTTGCTTCATCGCTGAATATTATCTTGGTGGCGAAATCTTCGTTCCCCAATGTTGACAAAAATCTAGTCGACGGGCGTATTCCTCCGATTTTAATTGTTGCAGAAGCTACATACGGTACGGTTTGAAATGTAACCGTTGACACAAAAACGCAGATTTTTGTGGTATTCCAAACGTCTGGTCAATTGACAAGAAGAACATCTGGACAACAATGCTACAAAATGTATAGAACGAGGTCAATTATCGTGTGTCAAGTCACCAAAGAGCCACATACTGAATAATTGTAGTGGGTGTATAAACTTGGGGCGAGTTTGTGTTTCTTTTCATGTAGTATCTTTCATGTGTGTACGTGAAATACTTCTGAAAATATAGCTTTCTCAAAACGAATGAGTCATTTGCTAGCCCTGTATTATGAGATAGCGATATTATCAAGTAAACAAAAATACAGTATTCATATAACAATATCAGATATACCGCGGTGCATATTGTACAATGAATTCAACATTATGTTTTGGTGTATTGGTGTTTGGTTGTATTTAAAGCGGAAGCAATAGCAGGGAAGAATATTAAAGCCATTTTCGAGCATTAAGAACTAAAGTGTCATTACAACAAATACATTACAACTGTGATAAGAGGTTAAATATCAAATCAAAAAGCATCCTGACTCTCTGCTCCGAAACTATAATAACAATCAGGGTTCTTTCTTGAATTTGCAAATGTTTAATTAAAAAAGTTAAATATGAAATTTACTAACATTAAAATTCTTTAAAAAGTGTATTATCATTCAGGAAAGCATAAGCTATTCAATTTTTCATGCTTGTTATTGCATCATACAACTTTTATTTGCTTTCTGGAAGTGAATTTGTAGTAGTGGTCGCGAAGCATTATTTTTGCTGTAAAATCAATTATGCCACCAAATTGATTGCTTGATCTACACCTAAAGCCCGAAAAAGGAAAAGGCATCACGAGCTTCAGAAACTTTATACCCTTTACTTCAAAAATATTCTGATTACGGATTGAATATACAGTGGAGATACAATGCATTAAAAGAAATCATAGTAATAATTTATTTTACACCAGTTGCAATTAGCGAATTAAATTTCATTTTAAAAGTTTAAAAAATGCAAGGTCACCGGTGATTGAGCTTTAAAACTCCTAACATAGCTAGCTCGAAGTTGGTTCAAACTACAGTGAACGGATGGCCTGCGTAGGAGAAATTCGTCATTTTCTACATACATGACAGTAATATAAGCCATTTTCTTTAAAACCTTTTAGCTTTCCAAACTTTGTTTGCATTGGCTTTGAACAAAGCATTGCAAGCTTTGTTTCGGTTTCTTTTAATCGGTTCGTATATTATGCTAGAATTTTTACAGTTTTTCTCTACAATCCTATGACATACGACTGAGACGTTTTCCTCCCCTTATTAATAGTTTAACGAAGCAACTATGAATTACATTTCAAATGTACCAAATAACATTTAAAATGTGGTTATATTTTCAATGCTGGTCTCTTCAGTTGATGAGGCGAGCAGCTGCAGTTTCCCTTGGATTTTATTACTCTTTTAAAATATTGGAAATTAAATTTTTGATTGAATATCTTCTTGGGTAAAATTCGTTTCCAAATATCCGTTATAGTATATTCTTGAGACAGCATCCAGACTGTATTGTCTGTATTTATACCTCCAAGTAGAGGCGTAGTTTAGAATTAAACATCTAAATCAACGCTTTTCTAAATTTTAGACTTTGACAATCAAGCTCACTGCAGATTAAAATAAAATTATTTGCAGCTTGCAAAATCAGAAACGTTAAAAAATGGACTGCAATTTGCATTTGAGAGATGATAAAATTTTCAAATAGCATAATAAAAGAATGAATAATTTGATATTAATTAACTTCAAGGAACAGACTGCATTGTTTGACAAGGCGAACGTGCTGTGCGGGTTAGCTATTTACGCAATAATAGAAGAAACATTTTCTTAATGTTCTGTAGGGTAATGTATAATATTTACGAGTTCGGGCACAATGCATCTACTAGATTCGTAAATGATAATTACTTATTGAAATTGAAAATAACGTGCAAAATGCAATAAATTATTATTATAAATTATTATTAGTGAAATTTTAACTTGTATTTCAAAGGTGTTTGTTATACCTATTAAACATAAAAATCAAGAAAACGCAAAATTAAAATGAAATCCGACGTACTGAATTTGTCAGATTAAATGTAAAATAAAATATCTAATTAGTGTTCCAATAAGACAAATATTGGAACACTGTATTTAAGTATATACTAATAAGACAATATTGGAACATATTACCACGTATTTCTGGAATGTCTGAAATCGCAGACAGGTGTCGTTTAATAAAACACGGAAAATATATTTCATATTTTTCGCATCTTATCCTGCGAGAAAATTTGCCTAGAGTGACTAAAAGTGTTATTTCTTTTTTGTTTCTTTATTTTTCCTTGTCTTTATAGAAATTTAGAAATTAAACTTTATAGCTTTCCTTTTGAGGGTGTAGAATCAACTATATTTTCCCAAATTAATTTAGTGCTTAAATAACTGCAGATTTGAATTACACATACATGCGAAACAAAACATCTTTGCTAATTTAGAAATACACAATATTATAAAAAACTGCTAAATCAGCGCGAATAGGAAAAGAAAATATATTTATCTACTGCAGTTGGTGAAGTTGTGCTGTTTCAGAGATTTTCTGATTTTTGTTCGATATTTATTCAAATCGATTTCTATCAACATAATGTGAATAAATTTTCATTACTACAGTTTTGAGTGTTTGAACAGAATTTTCGTCTTGTTGCGGGATTGAAAAATGACACTGAATGAGAAGTGGAACCTTCTACATGTCCCAGAAAAGCAAAACACATAATAATATATTCTGATTCATAGGTGAAAGGAAAGTTATAATTCAGAAATTAAGTGTTGAAAAGCTAGCAGTAACACGGAATTAAAATTAGGGTCTCTAAACAGAATGTGAGGATTTTTACGGTCATAAAATGCTTTAGAAAATCTAATTCGTCAGCTGATGATGGATTTATAGTGGTAGCTGAAGAAAAAGTTCATTTTTGCAGTGTTTAAATAGCTAACCTGCAATATTACCGTCACAACAGAAAATGTGCTTTTACAGTGGAACTACTAGAATGATAATAAAAATAAAAGAGGGCTAAAAACAGATTAAGAGAGGAGTTAAAAAGGAAATTTCTGTCAAAGAGGGAGCCATGTAAAAGGAAATTTATTGCAATATGGCTTTGTAAAGAAAGCCACAAGGCTTCAAGAATAAATGCTTAAAGAGAAATGATGTTTCAAACTCTTGTCACTTGATTCGCAATATGGTAGATCGAAAATCGACAAGACTTATAAATGTAAAAATACATGCGTCGTATAATGCTATTAATTGATGATGCAAATCTAAACTAGTTATTAAAAGAGCAAAATTAGGATTTACAAACTAAAAGCTACAATGTGTATAAGGTTCAGAAAACTGAGTCATACGGGATACATGTAAGTTACATAAACTAAATATCTGATGTGTACACCCCATGACTTCCTTGTACGGAATATTAAATTATATGCATTTTTTCTTGCATTTCATTTAAGCTTATTGATTGAATTAAATCTACTTCGTCGACAGAGCATAAGCCACAAGGCTTCAAGAATAAGTACTTAAAGAGAAAGGATTTTTCAAACTCTTGTCACTTGATTCGCAATATGGTAGATCGAAAATCGACAAGACTTATAAATGTAAAAAAGCATGCGTAAATCAAAACTAGTTATTAAAAGAACAAAATTAGGATTTACAAACTAATAGTTAAAATTTGTATAACGTTCAGAAACCTGAGTCATGCGGGATGCATATTTCACAAGTGCACATCGGCGTAGCCACTGAGGGAGGGGTTTCGAAAATGGACCAATGAGCTGCTATTGCTCTTGTGACGCTAAATCTTCGTGCATGTGAGCGTGTGTTATTTACACTTTAATTTGCATTTGTTTCGCAGTTATAAATATGTGGCGTAATAGTAGAAATCTTGTAGTGCCTTCGTTTTCTGAGTTTAATTAATCGCTGAGATTTCACTTTCGCGATTTTTATCACGCAATAATATTTGGATTGATGTCCACGGCATATTATGTGGATTAAGAGAATTCAAACGTTTTTTTTTTAACTGAGCTGAGAATTACTGAAAGTGTTACAATGAAGCTAGTATTTTATTTCAGTGCTTGCATTCTTTTGAATTTTTAAAGTGTAAGATTCAGAATACATATAATCTGATTATATCCATTGTTAACATTAAAGGTTATATGCGAATAAATTGAATATACTCGTTGTGAATAAGATAAATTCATTCTGTTTGATGAGTATTTCTTGTGTAGACAGTACATTTAAGAGTGAGCAGTTATTAAATGTGAAATTTAAGACACTAAATGTATACGAATGCAAATTAGTAAAGTTCACTTTGAATAAAATTCTGCATTGGTTGTTATTATAGAAAATCTTTTTCATATAGACTGCAATAAAAAGTTCTGACTTCTATTTACTATATATAATTGGTGTAAATATTTCTCTCATACGCATAGTTTTATACAAAGATTGCATTTGGGCTCAGATGTTTATCACATTTTTCTTTCTTCATCTTATTGACCATTTATTAAGTAATATTTCACATCGATATTTTTGCGAAGTCTCCAACATATGTTT